TTACAAAAGCTGTTGTCAGAGTAATCAATATTTTTTTCTTGGTATAACATGAAAAAAATAAAATGTTTCAGGTGAATAGTGGTTTAAAAAATATATATATTTAGTTTTTTATTTAAGTTGTAAAAAAAAAACAATATAACTATGTACAAACGTATATAAAACATTTGATTTAAGTATGTACATAATATTTTTTCCCTGTAAGCTATTAATGTTTTAATGTTGAATAATTTATTTTTTAGTTATTAATATTATTTTGTTTTACTTGCCAATGTAATATTTCAATCCTGAGCTTTCAATATTGGTTTTTAAAATGTCTCAATTTTTCTAAATATTCAATGAAAATCAGTTTTTATACACAAAAATAAATGTTTTAATGGAATCCAGTTCGCTAAAAATTTTATTTATTTTGTTAATTTATTTGTTATTCTATGTAATAATTTAAAAAAAAAAAAAGAATTATACCGATCATTATTCAGTTTTTACTATAATAATAATTATTATTCTAGTTTTTATTTTTATTACATTTCATATTATGACTACATATCAAAGTCATGCATAACAGTCTTCCCCTACTAATATAACACAATCATTATTAGTTTTGAAAACTGCTTATTATATTAAATTTTGTTTTTATTTAGTGTCTATGGTACTTCTAAAGTCTATCAACAGTTTTTTATCATTGCAATATTTTTTTTTATGTAACAGTGAATTCTACTTAATGTGGGCGCATTGGGACCAGTTAAATTTGCTCATATTAAACGGTTCCCTATTTTAACCAAAATGAGTATCGTTATACGTTAGAATCTGGACCAGACCATTATGTCCATATAAGGTGACTATCTGCATTAACCAGTAGGCATTAAGTGAAATCCACTGTATTTAAATCCACAAGAACTTATCTATTCATGAGTTGAATTTATACTTAAATTTATCATTAAATTACCTGAAGTTGAATTCCTGAAGTTATAAAATATTATCTTATTAAAAGCAATAAGATAATTCATTGATTCTCCTGAGCAGTAGCTGATTTTCAACATTTTTTTGGGAGAGTTCTTGAAAAATAATGTTTTTTTAAAGGTATCTATTATTAGATACCTCTTTTTTAGATGACATCTTATTGAATTATATTTGTGTCTGAGGGAGCTCCCCCATAAATTCGGCATTGCTCATAAGCAAAAGTTACTGGATTCCATTTTTACATTCACTTGAATATTTTTATATAATTTATATTTTACCTATTTAATGGTTAAACTAACAAAGGAGAAAGGAATCTGATTTTAACTCAATATTTTATATTCAATAGTTTTCCCAATTAATAATTTAACATTTCTTTAATATGACAATTTTAATGAGCTTTATGGATTTGGTTTTTATCTACTCTGTGGAAATCCTTTGTTAAGAAAAATGTTATATAAAATGATATTACATATCTCTTTTAACACATTTTAATAAAAATATAAATATAAAAATATAATTTTTTTTAAGTACTATTATTAATATTATTATTATTTTTATTATTATTATTATTATAATTTTTATTTTTATTTTTATTATTATTATTATTTTTACTGTTGTTGTTGTTGCGAATTAACTTTTTAAGTTCCTTTTGTTATAATTAGTATTTACAAGTAATTTTTTTCTTCCTTAGTTAATACATAGTTATTAGGAAGTCATATTATGAATTTTTCAGTTATATGCCTGGTGTAAATTTATAACACTATATTATATTTTTCAATCCATTTTATTAATATCATTGAATTTACTATAAATAGGCTTACCTAATACTTTAGCTATTATCGTAATGTTGAAATAAGTATGGAATGTTTTACAAAAATAATACTTATAGGGTAATATTTGCCAATTAATAATGTTAAATATTATTTTAGTTACCTATGCAATTATACTTTGGTTATTGCAAAAGATGAAATAGGGATGTTTATATTTGGTTTAATATTTTTATAATTTTTGAGTTTTAACATTACACAACAATAACTTAAAATAGTTTCAAATTCATCAATGTGTAATTATTATTATATTTGTGTACAAATAATTGTCTTATATTTATAAAAGTGTATATTTGGGTTATTATTACTATTATTATTTTTTTTTTTAATTAAGTTTAAGATTTTTAATGCAGGGAATTATACATTGTTGATATGGGTATGTGTGTGTGTTAAAAAAATGTTTTTATAACTATAACTCGTTGATATTATGTATATTATGTAAAGATTGATTATAAATATGAAGGTTATATTTTATGTGATGATGAAACAAAAATTGATGTGCAATTTTTATTCCATTATTTTTGTAATCAGTTCAATTTACCTAAATAAAAATTATATATGTATGCACGTTTTTCATACAAATGAATTAATTAATAACAGCGTTATATTTTTAAAGTATAATTTAAATTTAATATAAAGAGTAAATATTTTTATTTAATTATTAATATATATATATATTTTTTTTTTTAGTAACCAAACATTGACTTATACTTTTCTCAATTTTCATGAATTTAAATAACCAAAAATATATTTTTTAACTTATTTATATGTTATTTTTATTACGATGAAAGGTAAATTTTACAATTTTATAAATAGTTAATATTTTTTCCTGTATGTTTTTAAAAAATAAGAAAATTTATGAATGGTAATTAAAATATTTAAGTAGCATTTAAATTTTATTTTTGGAAAACATGTTATAAAGTCAGCATCTCAGTTTATTATTGTAATATTATAAAAAAATTATTTCAAGCTGAACTAAATTACATTTTATCATATTTATATACAAAATATATTATTATTATTATTATTATTATTATATATTCATTGGTTAAAAAAAATATATATATATTTATTTATGTACTACCATAATATATTTACTGTGAATAATTTTTTTAAAGTAGAACTACACAAAAAATTACTAGTTATTTTTATGGATGTAATTTTTTAATTTAAATTATATGATTATGATATTATTATGAAAATGTTTCAATTTTATTTTGGTTATGTAAAGATATATTTTGTGGACTTTTGAATGTAATAATGTACTTTTTTTTTAATATTATTAAAGAAAAGTTAATATATCAAATATATATAATAATACACATATAATATATATATATATTATACGTATCAAATTAAAATGTAAGAATTAAGTTAGTGTTTTTCTGAATATTTTTTGTTTTGATTATTGATGTTTATGTCTAAATAGACCTTCTTTATACAATAATAAGGGTTATTTTGATAATTATTTCTGTCTATATGAACTACTCACACTATGTGCAAGTAATAACTTGAGATGATTAACTGTAATGCTGCTGATATTTTGATGTATGCTGTCATGTGAGCATTATGGGTTTGAATTCTCTAAAAGAAAAAGTAAACTATTCAAACAGTGTTCCCACTGTTTACCAAGAAAATAAAAGTTTAGGTAATGAAGTTAAAAACACAAAACACCTGCCACTTGTCTCCACTTTATTCAACTTCACATAATCATATGTTTCATGTCTACAAGAGTGCCACCATTCTTTTGTATAAAAGATGCCAGGTACTTAAAACTCTCAACCTCCTGTAGAACTGCTTACTGCCATTAACAATATTGTCCTATTCCTTCAAACTCATGCTTTGTTTTACTTCTACTTATCCTTGGTCCTCAACTCTATTCTCTATTCTTCAAGCTTATTAACTTATTCCAGATTTTCTTCTATCAAAGCTATATCATTCTATAACATTCTCCTATCAAAACATACACCTCCACTCACCTGTTCCCATGTACATTGCCAAAGTTTTGTTTAGAACTCGTACCTCTTACTGTTTAACAGAATTTTATACCAGCTGCAGACCTGATGCAACTTCAAATGTTGCTTCTTAGAAAAGGTAGGGTACTGTATGTGTATTCTAATCCCCTCTTACAGGAAGATTGTATTTATTATTTAATTAATAGTTGGTTACAATAAACAAACAGTTAATATCAGAAAACTGATATGGAACAAAAACTATTAAGAATATTATTTATCTCGAAGGTTTAAAAAAAGTTGATATTTTATTATGCTTCATTGTTGACTTTCTCTTTAGAGAGGCTTAGTCCCCCAGTCCTCTAACTATAATTACTGAATGGTATTTGATTTCTTCAATCTTTTAAATCCAGTGCATCAAAAGTTTCAGAATAAGATGGCCCATATTCACCTTCAATCAAATTTCCTTCAAGTGTGCTGCAAACTATTTCAGTATCTCTATTTCTTAAATCCTATATCGTGATTATTTAAAGTTTTTCATCCATCTAGATCCAGTAGGTATTTGTCAAATATGATAATTTTCCTCAAAGTTTTTCGTTAAAATCTAATGCTTTCTTAGATACAATATAGACTAGGCAGAAGCTTTTTTTTTGTGTAAACCAAGTTAAAATGGTATGTTATACAAATTTTGTTTTAGATGTTTTCATTATTTTAACTTTTTCACCATCAAAATTAGTGACTTACCTTGAGATAATGCTCAATTTCTTTATTTTATGTCTGAATTTATGAATTTTCAAACACCATACTGCTCGGACTGGTCGTTTTTTTTAAACCGCACAATGATTTTTTATTTTTTCGTAGTAAGCGCTACTCTTTTAATAATAATATTAACTGCATTTTTATTTTAAGACGTTATAATATATTATATTATTGTATCAAAACGGTGGATATAATCTAGATTATATTTTTATTTTTTTCTGCTCGTCTAGATAATCGGACGTTCGGTTAATCTATGTTCTACTGTGTACCCAATGTGTAATTAATATAAAAAAAATCGAAAAACTTAACTATAAGCACTTTCCTATATATTATTACAATACTATTTGCAATCCGATTGCAATACTATTTGTTACTCCTAAATAAGGAATCAAGTACCTACTACGTGTTGGTAAACTAACGAATACCGTTAGATATGTCGTCTTAAAAATGTTACAATGTTGAGCGTTTAAACAATGATTTAAAATATATTATAATATTAACACGGTTATATGATATCCGTCTCCTGTTCGTCATCCCGCTCGTTTGACAGCTTGACAAAAAAGTCGCATTGTTGGTTAGGTTTTCTGGATGGCCCATCACGGCAGTCGTCGTCCGTGGACCACGAACACGTCGTCTGCGAGGAATCATCCACGCACTGCGACTTACTACAACCTTTGGCGCGCAGTTTTGCACGTAACTCTCTTTCAATCGCTCTAGACGCCTCCAACTTGGTCCTCAGTTCAATGTTGTTCCCGTGCAACTCTTTCGTCCGCGCTATTGTGTCTTTCACGTACGTCCCGAACCCGAACGCTATTTCTTGTGCCACTTTGTTCAGTTCTTCTAACGCCTTCTGTTCGTTCAACAAGTTGACTAGGGCCTCGTCCATCTCGGTCGTCAGCCGCTTCGAATCATCCCGTAAGCTCTTCTCGTACGCGCCGCAGTCACGCTGCGTCGCCGTGCGCGACGCCTGCAACGTCTTGAATTGCGTCTTTAAACGTATCTCCTCCTCTAAATTCTGTGCCAAACGCTCCTCCGCTTTTTCCAGTTGTTCGTTCACCTCAGTCTCCCGCACTTTGTACGCAAGCAATTTGTCCGCCAGTCCCTGACCGCACTTCTGCAGTTTTTATAGTAAATTAGTAATTTGTAAACGGTATATTACCACCTATTATTTGGGGTTACCCCGCCGCCGAACCGAACGGGCAGTATGCGCGAACGTACACGCTGGCCGCACCAAAATCACCCTGTGGACGATTACCTAAACGGTTTATCGCTTATTTACCGCCCACGGCTGTTATCGCGTGTTTTCTCGTAGGAAGGCTTGTAACGGTCAAAGACACTAAACCCTTTCTAAAGGTCTAACTATCCAGCTGGCCAACTGGTTACGGCTGTCTTTCATCAAATTTGATGTCACGGTCTAAGTGGACTTAACACTTGTTCGCGTTACATTAACACATTTAATGTTGTTCCCTCTGGGGAAAATAGCGTGTGCAAAACGCTCGAGGGCCACGACGGATTTTGAAGACGCCACTAGATCGAAGATGCTGCACGGCAGCCTCCGGAAACCCAAGACGCATAGGTCCTCAGTTGCTATTGTTGCGACCGCTTATCTACCAACCTATTAAACGGAAATTTGGGATATCGCCGTTGAAACATACTATGCAAATTGTACACCCAACTTGTCAAATGATTTTACACTCATTCAGAAACTATAATAGAATTATTCAGGATTTTCTCGAAAATTATTAAAAGATGTATAAAATTGATAGAATTGATGTTCGATAAACGCCAAACGGGTGTACCCAGTTTTGTCCATTTTTAGATTCTGAGCGGAGCGAGGAATGTATTGGTTTTTACAATGATGTTTATGTTTATTTTTTTTTTTTTGTGGACAACTTATCTACTTGCAATTTCACTCTGATTTTCAAATACACCATATTTTCTGAAAGGAAATCTGACTGAGGTGGTAGGTACTTAAGGAAGGTTATTTTTTGATTTTCTCAACTGTTTTCATAATAAATGGCAAAAAACGTTTTTTTTTTTTATTCAGTTAAAAATATTCATAGAGAATTGAAATTTGGACAGAAAACTTATATTTGCCTTTTCTAAACGTCGTATTTTTAAAACATTTTTATCTATTTTTGAAATATTTACTAATAGACATTTTAATTTTGTGAGTTTTTTAAGTAATTTTTGTTCAGTAATTACCTACTTTGTGGATCAAATGGTTATACCAAACAGAAATGCTTGACAATTTAGCAGAAGATTCTTTATAATATGTACTTAGTGGTCGAAAAAAATTGAATATGTATATTGCAATGTATATTTTTTTTTTATTAGTTTTAAAATCAAAATTTAACGAAAATCATAAATATTACCGGCCTTTCAAAACATGTATAACCAAACTCCGCTCAAAATCGGTTTTGTGGGGCCAACGACACCAAAACCTAGCAATAATAGCAATTTTGAATATTTTCAATATTGAATTGAATTATCTTATCATATTATTATATTATATAATACAATAATGCGTATATTGTAATTATTTTACCATAATACGACATATACGTTATATTATATATATACGTATATTTTTGACAAAGCCTCACTATCAACCTAATTTCGCTCAGAATTGATTTTTTGAAAACCCAAATGTCGTATACTGAGTCTTGATAGCAAAGCCTAGATTATTATTGTTTCACCCTCTCGTAATGAATCAATCATAACGCTGTACAATTTTGTACAGATTTTATTTTCCTAGATATCCAATGGATATTATCCATACATATTTACCTATCAATATGTATAATATTTAAGCATATAAAGCCGGACTCTCTAAATTAGCATTATATTTGGTGGCATGTAATGATATTACTTAACCTAATCTAACCTCGCCTGCTCAAATGACGCCAATGTCTTGACGCGATTTCATATGTATGATTTTATCAACTATAATTTTAACATCCAACATGGCTAGTTAACGGATATATGACGGGTATCTCGAATAAAAATATCTAGTTTAAAAATAATACGGAAATAATACGACGTTTATACGGCATGTTTCAAAACAGACAGACTTTGTTTGTATTAATATATTTAATTAAATATATAATTGTTTAAAATATTTATATTTTGTATTTTATTTATTTTCATATTTTAAACATTAAAAAGTGCAAAGTTATGTCTTTTTCCAGGTAACGTGCTCCAGTTAGTAGCGTGCTGATAATTCTTCTAATAAAAAAATTAGAACCCTGTACCCACTGCAACCCACTCAAAGTATATTAATAATATCCATAATACACACAACTAAAGGCATTTCTGATCTCTGAAGTATCTTAATCGACGTTCAACATATTTGGTCACCCATCCACTGACTCATTTTACTCATGAGATAATCGCCTCAAAAAAACCTACTTCAGCATACCATTGGCTCCAGTTATTCACAACAATTATTTAAATAATATTCTACTTCGCCAAGTGGTTGAAAATCATGATTAAGGTATTAGGTTTAAGTGTTTGACACGACTCATATATGCATTATTAAAACATTTCAAAAAAATCATCGTCCATTCTCAGATTTATTTCTAGGATATGTAAGGATTTTTCAAACCCTATTTTTTTAATTTTTGTTTTTTATTAAGATATCAAAAATAAAACATTTAATATACATCAAAATTAAATTTGTTATAGAATTGATTAACTTACCTCCTGTAAGCTTATGCAGCTTGTGTTGGAGATAAAGAGCTATGATTACTACTAAATCTGTACATATATAATAAATAAAAACATAGTGTAAATATATTTCAATTTAAAAAAATTAAATGTTTAAATACATCTTGAAACAACTCTGGAAATATATAAACTAGCTTATTTTCTAAATAACAATGTTAATTCAAATAAATTAAAATAAATCAAAAATATGTGCTATAGGTACAATAAATAAAAAATAATGAAATAAAATTGGGTTATATTACCGTAAATTCTTGTCTAATTCAAAGAATAAATATTTGTATGTTAAATCTTTAATATTTACAATGTCACTACCAAGTATTTTTTTTTAAAGTCACAGGGCATAGAGTTGAAAGAAGTTGGACCCTGATAGTCTACAAAACGCTGACCAAAAGAAGTAGTCGCATATTTAACAGTCAAATCACATTTGATTAAAAATTCTATTACCCTAAAAACTTTATATTTTTCTTTATATAGTTTAGTCACCTTCTCATAATATGCATATGTAATGCCTTAAATCTATTCAGAATCGCTTCTTTCGTTTTATGTCTTACAAATGTAGTATTCCACATCTACCTCATTTATCATATAATTCATTATTAGACACACTAAATATGAGAAGCCTTGCTGTCCGAAGAAAAATGTTTGGAATTAATTTTTGTTAAGATTGATCAATGGCTACGTAGTCTGTTCAAAATTGCTTAATTCTATACATTTTTATATCCTTCAACGACAAACTAGATCTACTTTTCATACACAATCGTAAAACATTAACTATGCTATAAATGATTCTTTAATTAAATCCACGAAATTAGCTAATGATACCCAAATTGAGCTATTAATTTTAATTTTATTAAGTCTTTTTGTAATTATATTATTATGTAGTATCAGTAGTTATGTTTTTTTATTATATTTATTTATTAATTTTACTATTATTTTTACGTATTTTTCAATTCTATAATTTCTTAATTCATCTTATTATTATTATTATTATTATTACACGTTTGTATTCAATATGTATTGGGCTTTATCCCCTTTAAATTAACAATAAATAAATAAATAATTAATTACTATACGAAATAGGTCATAGCCTAATATAATATATAGGTGTATTTTTTTTACCAACGACTTACTTCCAGGGCCTCAAAGCAATCCTTAACGTCTGACAATAATTGATCGTTGTCATCGTCCGTGCACGCCTGAACATCACACAACAAAGACCGTGCAACACGCTTAAAAGTTTCATTTTCCGAACTGATCATATTCAGCCGTTCTTTCGTTTCCTTATAACTCGTCTCCATTTGCCGATAATTGGCTTCCATTATGCCGCTAAATGTAATTTCCGAGATCTTTTCCATGGCCGCAAATTTCTCGATATAGGTTTCTGGTGTCGACACTTGATTCGCGAGTCGGATCGTTTTCAGCTCGTTTACCGATTCATCGGACGACAACTCCGACGTCATAATATTGTTATTATTTTTATTTATATAATGTCCCGTCGAGTCTAAAGAATTTCGAATTTGATATTATATTTTGTGTTTCGTCGTTTATTTAAACCGTAACCACGGTAAACGCTAAAAAAAAATAACCAATTAGGTACCTAGTGAAAATTATACGTTTTCCATTCTTCAGATTTCGGTAAATTTTAACCTACGTAGTATTTAGATTAGTATTATTATTATTATTTTTTTTAAGTTATACATGCTTTATATTGTAAAATGAGCAACACAGATAACGATGAAGATGGCGAGTCCGGTCTGCAGGCGTATGAGTATGAATTCGAAATAATGGGAGAGAACGGAAATGAAATTGAGTGTGCCGATAATAGTGAACTCGCAGAACTGAAGTACCAAGACAGGTCGGACTCTTTTTCGGCCTTTTCCCAGTGGGTCAATTTGGCCGAAGACGATATCGATTTCGAATTCAACCCATACGACTCGGACTTTGAATTATTAAAGACGGAAAAAATCAACCGCATAGAATCGTTGAGGATAGAGCAAGCCGCCCTAATCCTCCGCAAAGACAATGCATTACAAACGCTGACCGAACTGTACAGTAAGCGTATGGTAAGTATATGCATACGCCATATGTCAATTTTTTTAATAAAAGAAATGTCGGGGAGCTAAATATAGTAATTAAAATTGACTATTATAGATACTTAGTATGTATAGTGTTTGGACACTTCATGAAATATAAAATTTTTAAATATTTCAATATTTTAATAAAACGTTTTTTTTACCTGCCTACATTTGACATTAGTGATTATTTTCTTTAATATTTTAAATTTTCTTATATTACCTATACGTAATTATATAAGTATACCTAATATTAATTCTATTTTTATAGTTGTTTACACATAATATGAAGGTATGTAGACAAGTTTTAATAGGAATAAGGAATATAATAAAATATTTACCTATTATCTATTATAGCCTATAAAGAATTAAATCTTAATACATTATAGATAAATAGTCGAAAATAAGACTATATATATATATATATAGTGATTAATCTATCGTAAGACACTCATTATCTCGGAAAGTATTAATTTTTTTTGGAATTAATTTTCATTTAAAAAACACGCAGCTCTATAATTTTACGTATATGTTATGTTTTGTCACTCTTATTTTAAAGGATAATATCACTACCTACTTTTGATTTTCAAATGGTAACCTACGAGTATACTAAAAATGCCATAAATAGATGGAGTATTAGTTAAAATAATTTTTGGTGTTGAAATTTTTGATTTACGTGGTTCACCTCCAAGAATAAAAAATGTAAAATTGTAGAGCTCCTTGGTTTTCTATAAAACAAATTCTGAAAAAAGTTAATAATTTCCGAGATAATGAGTGTCTTACGATAGTTTGATCACTCTGTATAGAAATAAAACAAAAATTCAATCAACATTTTTAAGAAGGCCAAATCGTTACGTACCGGTTTTTGTAGTGATACGTATCAAAAAAAAAACCGATACACATCGAAACGTATAACAATTTGGATAACCTTGTTTCACAAACAAGAGACGTTCAATGAGACGTTCCGATTATAGCCATAACTACTGGTTTTTATCAATATTACTGATAAATGTTAACTGATTACATATATTATCTACGTAATTTTGAAATTATTAATATATTTTTTTTTTTTAACGTTTATTATTATGTATAAAATCTGTAATGATATTTACAATAAGCATATGAACGTTTGATTATATTATAATGACAGGAGGGACTAAGGAGAGATGGTAACAATCGGAGAAATTACTAATATAATTATTAATACTAATATTAAATCATTAATATTTTTATTTTAATTTTCTTGTTTTATGTATTTTAACAATTTTAAAGTTCATAATGAAATTAATTTCTTTTGAATTATTGCTACATAAAAAACAATTTAACCATATTTATGACAGGAATAAAAGGAAAAGAAATGGTTAGTAGATAGAACGTTTCAACTTAGTCAGTGTTTGTGCACAAGGCATATAAAATGTACCTAATTTAATGTTATTGGTAAGTTATTTTGTTTTAAAATTACATTATTTCTGAATTGGTTTTTCTTTTTGGAAGATTCTTACAAGTCTGGATTTCTGTACTAAATCAAATCTCAAAGCAATCATCACATTGACAAAACAAAATTTTAATGGTGTAATAAATTTTAAATTATATTCCATTACAATTACATAGTTTAGTTTATGTGTTGTACTTACATAAACGCTTGTTCATCCCTGCTGAAGAGAAGTTCCATAATCAAGCAATGAAATATGAATAAAGTAAATTAAGTTAAATGAAAAAATTAACTTATTCATTATTTGTCTAATAGCAATTAACAAATAACTTTTTTAGGTTAAAACCAATTTGTAAATTAAACGTAATACTAATATTTACAATATAATACATACTAATATATGCAACCTAAATTTAAATATATTTAATAATAATATAATTTCCTGCTAAATTTTAAATGACACGAATGAACCGGCGCATCGTAAGCATTCGACATTAATTCCCGATACAAATAGATACGTATTTACAGTTGTATCGTTTTAACGTATCATAAACTTCTTGAACACTCGAGTACATTTCCGGATATATCAGAACATATCAGTAACATATATATATGTTACGGGCAAAAGCCAAAACCGGGCAAAACGCGAAGTGTCCACGATACTTGAGCAAAACGTAATATTTCGACTTTTACCCTTTAAAACCTAATTGTGATAAACCTCATTCGGGAAAATTGTATCGTATTCATACATTTATTTTATAAATATATAAATAAATAAATAAATATATTAAATAAATCTTATAATTAAAGTAACTACGGCTTTGCGGTTTGATTTCAAATACCGACTCAAGGGAATCGAAAAGTCATTATTTTTCATAGAATTTTATTTATTATTTAAATTTACATTTAAGATATACAGGTTTAAAATTAAAATTGTTGAAATTGAATTAAAAATTTGTTCTGTTCATTTTAAAAATGTATATTATCGTATATTTCGATACTCGTGTGTGTGCAATGCAAAACGAGGCAGAACACAATCGTCTATTATATACCCAGACGGAAAACAACATAGGTATATGTATAGGTATAAATACGTACTACGTCATACAATAATGTTAAAATTAAAGGTCAAAACAGCTACCTATATAAAAGGTGATTCTTTAATTATGACCAAGCAATTTCCAAGGAGAATTTTATTTAGATTTGATTTTTGTGGTTTTTTTTTAAATCATTATGGAATCATTTAAGCTTTATTTTAACACTATTTTCAATTTTTAGCCTTATTCCTTATACCAGAAATTAGTATTTACTTTCTAAATAGCAACCCACCTCTTTCAATAATAGATTCAAACAAAGAATATTTGTGCAGAACACTAATACATATCGGATTTACCGTTGAGTTATAACAGTTTAAAGTTTAGACAAGAGGAGTAGGTAAACTCTTGATAAATCTCCCCCACTCCTCTGGTCTAAACTTTCATTTTTAAAAAAAAATAACTATTTACTTATCAACATTTTGTAAACAAATATTTATTCATTATTATTAAGAATAACGGGCTGGGCCCAATATACATGTTTACTAACAATACAATTAGATTAAAATGTTAAGAAAAAAAAAAGAAAGGACAAATTAAATACAATAACAAGAACAGAATGACAAATGTTAATAGAAAGATATAATTAAATGTTTAAGCAGAACAAGCAGAACTAATCAAAGAAGAGAATCAAAGGTTCACTGACAAGCCTCATTATGTGGTTGAGTCGTTGAGGAATTCATTTTGGAGATCTAACACTATAAAAATGATTAATAGTTAATCTTTTTACATTACATACAATTTAATTTTTAAATAATTACCCATTAGAGAAGCCCTCTATTATTTTTGTTTTAGATTCTGAGCGGAGCGATGAATATATTGGTTTTACAGTGATTATTATTTTTTTTATGTGAACATTTTTTCTACTTGAAATTTTAATCCGATTATCAAATATAGCATCTTTTCTGAGAGGAAATTTTCTCTGAGTGGTACTTTAGAGCGGTAAATTTTTAAATGATCATTAATATTCGAAATAATGAGAAAAACCTGATTCTTTAGGTTAAAAAAAAATTGAAAGATTAAATAACGATTATCATTGACAACCGTTTTTAATTATTTTTTGTTATTATTATTTTTTTATAATTTTAATCTTTTTTAAACAATCATTATTGTCATGGAAACGCACATTGTGATCATATTACCATAATATGGCATATATATTGTTGATAAAGCCTCACTTATCAACTGAACTTCGTTCAGAATTGTTTTTTTTTTTAGCAATGATTTATCGTTGCTTACAGATATATATATCAAATTCCTATCTGTATTCTACCTTCCCAACTCCCCACCAACAACAGTGGCTGCACTCACGTCCGAAGTATGCTCGTCTTTTTAAAATATTTTTAGGGGAATTTTTGTCATTTTTAAGCGTTTTTTTATGGATTTTAAGTGAATTGAAATCCGGGCCCTAACTAATAAGTTTTAAAGATTCAATAATTTATACTTATTTGTTTGTATTTTAACACAGCCAATTGAGAAGCACATAAAATCTCTTGAGCTCCCCCCCTGGCTACGTCAGTGTCTAATATCTGCATTCACTATCGCCTTGCTCTATTATTGTAATAATATAATAATAATAATATTATAGTCAATTGATATTCCTATACATTAAGGCAGACCCAAATGTTCCGATAAATGAAGGGACGCCCGAAGAACTCGAAAACTACTATGAAAATTTAGTGTTGAAGTTTAGAGATAAAAAAATTGTTTGGCTCTGGCAAGAACAAAAACTAAAAGCCGATTTGAAATTAACAGCTGAGTACAAGTTATTGGAGCGCATAAAATGTGACCAATTTATCAGCGACCAATATGCGTTGGAATTACAAATTGGCTTGACAATGATTAACCCAAGAACAAGAAAAAAACTTGATCGTAATGTATGAATTAGTGTTAAGGATCCTGCTCGTGATTTTTTATAAATTGTTATTGATTACTGATAACATATTGTTAACATTTATAATTAAAAAGTCTTAACATTTCTTAACAAAAAATGCAATCAGTTTTAATTTTTGTTTTAAAGGGACTTGCATAGTTTTAATATTACTCACGTAGTTAACTCCCCTGCTTCATAAAGACACCCAATTTCGATAAGTATTTTTTTTTTTTGGAATTAGAACAATTTCTTATAGTTGGTTTTTGATTTATAATTATATAACCAAGAACCATTAAATAATAATTAAAAATTCGTCATATTCAAACTCTAATTTTAGCTTTTGAAAATTAAATTTTTAAAATTCAAGTCCAATGCAAAGTGCTAAAATAAATATTCATCTTTCAAACAAATACAAAATATTGTCGAAATTAGAATACTCTACGAGGCAGGAAATTTAATCCTGTAGACCGTATAACATAGTTTGGGCAAAAGAATATGTCGCGCACATTCTCTTTAATTTAAAAACTAAAATGGTATTATTATTTATAATAATACATATTTTTGAAATTAAGCCGAATAAACAACGATTAAAGTAGTGTTTCTCAACCTTTTTACTGTCACGAAACCCTAAACAAATAGGTTTTTAAGTATTTAGTGACCCCTATATATATACATTTTATACAAGGTGACCCAATAATTTATACTTATGGAGACCCTAAAAAATAAGTGGTAGTTCCTAAGTTGAGAAACACTGTGATAAACCATTTATATTACATTTTTAGTCCTAGGGAAGAAAGGTTTAGCAGTCAATTTATGGAATTTTTTTTTTAGAAATTATGAATGTAGAGTGTAAAAGTAGAATGTTATGTTTTTTTTTTTTTATTCGTAAAAAAGTTGTCTACCAGAAACTTTGATTCAGAAATCAATTTTCAAGTGTAGCACTTTTCCTGAAAGGAAATCTGACTGAGGTGGTACTTCAGGGTTCATTTTTCAATTTTCTCAGGGGTGTTCATAATATAAATTGGAACAACCGGGAAAAAACTTATAATATAATATCAGTAGAATATAATATTGCATTCATAAATAATAGTATTATACCTATTTAAAGTAGGTATTATAATTAATAAATTATGAATCTATTGATAGATAAGTGTTACATATTTAGGTGATCCAAAAAATGATTGACGATTGTCAGGAAAAACATAAACGGATTAATATTTTATGTACTAAGCAAATTAGAAACAATAATGCAATTAGAAAAATAGAAACTGCTATTAAGGAACTTTTATCAAATTCCACTTATAATATTCAGGACTACCAACAAATGTCTGCTGAAGTCATTCAATTAAATATGCTCCAAGAAAAAACGTGAGTTATTTTGATAGAAAACTGAAATAGGTATCATATAGGTACTGACACTAGCTGATATGAGGTTAGAATTCAGTGGTTCACAATTTCTTTTATTCCACGCCCTTTTATAGATTTTATAAAATCTCTTGCCCCCGAGCAATTTTCCCCTGTCGCCTCTACCTTAATACGGCCTTGCTCTTAATCGTTATCGATACTCAACCACCAGTTATTAATTTTTAATTTTTTCCCTACATTGTAAAGTACAAATTTTACTTCATGATGACTGCTTACGCCTTCCCAGCATTTTGTTTACGCCTCCTCGTCTTTTGGGAACCACTGGGTTAGATCCTAAAATTCGTCTTTTTTATAATCGATAAGGGTCTTAATAAAATATTTAAAAAAATTTACTGTTAAGAAAGTAAACATTTAATATAGTTTTTTTCAGGAATAATCATATTTGTAACGTCCGACGAATAATCATAGATACGATAAAAGAAAATCCTTACTTCCATCAAAAAGTAGCCGAATTAAACCAGGCCAAAGAAAATAAAATATTTGAATTAAAAAAATTAAAAGATGCAAGTATTTTAAATTTTATTAGTAACGGAGTGAGCAATGAATGTGATTATACTGTATGCTTTTATTCTATTTACAAACCAATTTTCGGCTAGAAAATTTATCCCGATCTTCAGTAAACAAAATAAAGAAGCTTTCTGCCTACAATATACAAATTCTGATAGTTATTTAAACGTAGTTGTTGGCTATTTAAACAAAATATGAAAATTTTAATGGTACGAGGTTGCAATCCAAATGCATAAATTACACTTCAGTTTCTGAAGGCTAAGCTTTGTTGGGCTAACCAAATTCGACGTGTCGTATTCTTCAGATGTTGGTATGAAGGTATGAAGGAAACTCATCAGGTCTGGATGAATGTCTTCTCGTCTTGTTGGCCGTTTCCTTGTGAATTTCCCCTTTAATATGATGTTGACAAATTCATTGTGTCTTAGCAGATGCCTGACGAGTTTCTTCCTTTACCAATTTCGTGCAAGATCGCATCGTTCTTTTTCCTTTCTGTCCAACTTATCCTTGACATTCTTCTCCATATCGATATCGCTTCCAACCTTCCTTTTTCATAATTCTTTATGGTTCACGTTTCTCATACATACAACAAAATACTTAAGATATACGATAAAAACATTATTATTGTACATAATTTATAAATGAAACGTTCTTAAGCAGCAATGGAAACATAATTATGTAGCAGAGGTGTTTAACAAACGGAAAAAATTGGACCTAAAAACACAAATGCAAGTAGACTGGTTTGCCGACGACTCGCTCCTACTCAAAGATTATCAAATGAACATGGAAAAATCTCAAAAAAATTTAGTGTACGAGATTGAGCTCAAACAGAAGATTTTCGAATATGGAACCACCATTAAAAACTATCTGGCATTACTAAAAGAAATAAAGACAAATTATTCTGAATAAACAATCAATAATTAATATAATTGATCATTATTATTGTTATTTTATTGGTATCCCGACCAGAGTGACGCATAGACGTATTATCAAATATAGAATTAATTAATTTGCCTTCCAGGAAAATGAGTGTAGTTTACTATTATATTAATGATACAGAGAAGCACAAAAAGACTTAAAAACCCTAAAAAGAAACGAAAGGTTACACGAATACTAATGTTAACTGAATGTATTCTAAAAATTCCCCTGTGTGCCACTATACCCATGCACACTGTATCTATGCATATTTCGAGTATTTTATAATAATTGTATAATTTTATTAATATATTGTCTGTAATGGTGATGAATAATAATATACAGAGTGTCCCTCTCACGAAGGGTCCCGTTGTATTACACATTGTAATACCTCCAGAAATAATAAAGACAGGTAGTTAAAATCTGTTTTAAACAACTATTTATTTTCATTATCCTATATTTATTTGAAATAATTTCAGAAAAAAGTTCAGAGAAAAAAAGTGTATATTTCAGTCAATTAGCCATTATAATACAAATTAGTGAATGCGATTATAGCCTGTTCCATAACTTTTCTCTGGACTTTAAAAAATTATTTAAAATCACGAATATAATGAAAATAAAAAATTGAAACGTCAAAATTTGCCAGTGCCAAACAAATGTGCGATAAAATCATTTTCACCTACTCTCTCAGGACCTATGTTAATAATTAAGTACACATTTTACAAATGTTTAGCTTTTATTTTACTTTTTTTTCTTCTGCTTTTTGACTTTTTTACCTTTTTAGCATAATATTTTTTTGTTTGAAGTGGTGGTTTTAGATTTTTTGGTTTAAAGCTACGGCCCCACTAAGAGCGATTTACGATTTTGTGATAGCGTGTAGCGTTTTGTATGTTTTCCGCGTTGTAATTGTAACTAATTGTTTTTATTACAAAGTTCAAAAAAAAAAATCAAATTTATATTCAAAGATATAGAAATGAAATACTATTAATACTATTAAGATTGTATTGATTTTACATTTACAACATTTTTCTGGACGTCATCTTGGTCGACGATTGAATGAGCAAATGAAAAATAAAATGAACAAACGTGAGGTAAAAGCGCAAAAATGTATATAAAATCGCAGAAACACTCGAAACACAAAAACGCAAAATCCATCTTAGTGGGGTCGTAGCTTTAGACCTTGCCGTCTATCAATGGTTAATCTACAATATTTTGACACGGGCTTTACAAAGCTTATACAATTTATATGCAGTTATTTTAAGCTTAATAGAATCCTAGGAATATTTTACCAGGAATAAAATATTTAAAGGAAAATCGTACCTCTCTCGATATATTAGGATATTGTATCAGGGGTAAATTTTACCAAGAAAAATAATGTCTTGTTACAATCGTGTTTGGAATCAATATTAAAGGTTAATAATAAAGTCTAAAAGTTTAAAGGAGATGTTTAAATGAAACTCTTCGAATACATACATGAAAATAATTTCAAAGGTTACGGTCGGTGGAAAACTCATAACAACATATCTAAATATAGATAGATAGGTTATTAGTTTAATATTTATTATTGTAGGTATATTGTATTAAAGACGTACAAAATGTTAAATACAAAAATTATCAATTAAACCAACTTAAATAATTTGATTACCTATCTATTATTAAAACTATCAGTTTGTATACACTATATTATAATGTATGATCGATACAGTGTGGCATACAGACCAAACTTGGAATTTTGACTTTTTCGGTAACTCTTATTCAATTTAAATACATAAGATTTCTATGACTATCCACTTATACAACTATTTGACTACTAATGCAGTTGCGTTACTTGGTAACCTATACGTGGGCCAACCCAAACTACTGCAGGTTAGGTCTACTACTTCTATTAGTCAGATTTCAATAGTTTTAAATTCTTCTCCGGGAAAATTATATATATTTTTCAAAAATCTATAAGAAGTTTAAATGTTCTCAAAAACTCGAAAATGATAAATATTTTTGATTTTTTTTTAAAGAAAATTTTTTTTTATATTTCTAAGTGTAAAAATTAAATAACAATAATAAGAAAAAATCGGTTCATCGTTTTGTCGTGTTTTTTTTTAAGTGCTTATTTGAATGCTTATAATCAAGTACTTGTGATTTTTTCAGCGCTTATTTTGATGATTGTAAGTGCTATAAATCTCAAACCCTACTTATATCATTTTTTTCAAACTTATGGGAAAACAGAGTCTGACCATTGATATTTATATTGGAGGATATACGAATAAAAGTTTTATGAAGCATTTTTAGATAGTTTAAAAATGTTTCCTTATAGTCATATAGAGTATAAATCATTTTTTCATCACCTTTCAAAACAGAGATGAAAATTAAAAATTCGATTATTGATTATTTTATTGTCATCGATAATATGAGTACATGGACAATTTCAAATTACTCGAACCACGGTAATTCCTACGCTAGTAATTTAATACAATAAAGCATAATAAAAAAAGAAAATTATTTGTGTGCCTACGTTTATTATATCTGGTGGTGCAAATAATTTTGCATAACGTCTATCTAATGCGGTGGTCCATATGACTCATTTTGATTGACCAACTTACGTCACTGTATAATATATATTTTATTATATTTCCTACTATAATATCATATCGTAGTCGCTTCGTGAAATCGATTTTTTCATGAGAAGTTGTTTCACTTTACACAAACAAATTAAAACGAATTTTTTACACTTTGAAATACCTACAAACATATTTCATAAAATGGCCACAGCAATTTAACATTGTATAATTTTTTTGACGATCTAATAGTCCACTTTGTATACTAAAATTAAAAAAATTATCGCATAGGTACAACTATAAATTATAATATTGTTATAATTATTATAATGATTTATACTACAATACAATTTATTATCATAACGATACATACACATATTTGTAATAATCATTACTAATATTTAACTCTATAGTCTATAAGTATTATTAGGTAAACCGAAGTATTCAATTTATTTTTTTTTTTTAAATATATCTAAATATATTATAATCAAACTTAAAATAATTGAAAACTTATATTTAACTAAACATGAATATTTAACTTAAAACTGTTTTAAACTAAAATAAACTTTTTGTAAAATGATACATTTATTAATTTACTCAATTTATTTAATCATAACATGCGTTTAATTGGTCGTAAGTTAACCATTAAAAAAGTAGTAGCGAAATATTAAAATATATATCTGTGTTCCATTTATCTATATTAATTAATAAAAATAATAAAGTAAAAAAAAATAAAGTACCATTATAAAAAATTTAAAAAAGTCGTCTGATGATTTTGAAAGTTTTACCACGTCAAATATAAGTATTATTACCAAGTTTCAAGTCTCTATGTATATTTATAATCGAATAACAGCAAAAAAACTCCTAAAAATTAAAATTCTTTAAAAACTCAAAAGTTTTGGCAGTGATACCGTAAGAAAGTAAACCAAAAAGGCAACAAAAGAGGTATATTGTGACTTTTCGATTAAATCAATTTTTCTGATAGAAAACGTCGTCCATGTTTTTATAAAATAATGAACTCATGAAATTGTACGTTTTTCTACGTTTTTTCACACTTGTGCTTTTATTTAAAAATGGCGTCGAAATTCAAAAAGTGACCTTTCAAGGACAATCTAGACAACTTGATATTTCAGAAAAGTTGCGTTTATGGAGCATTACTACATCTATTAGTATAAGGTCTATGCATATTACATTGTACCAATAATATTTAAAATTTTAAATGAAAAAATATATCTTACATAGTTTTCAGTCATACAATGTAATGACAATAATTGATATCCCATATTTCTAGGGTGTCTTAAAGAAAAAAGAAAACACAAATCAAAAAATGTTGTTCACTATTGTAGTATAATATAATAATATGTCAAACAAATTTGATAAAATTCTAAATAATAATGCTAATAATGTAAATATCGATTTTAAGACTAATAATAATTTAATCAAACACATTAACAATAGCACTAAAAACTTCACAAAAAATCACTTTTCTTTTGATAATGTTGGTATATATATCTAAACTTAAAAGTAACTGTTATACATTTTATATAAGTAAGACAAATAGAAATTTTAAAATAAGGTATAAATAACACATTTATGAAATAAAATTAAAAAATACTGCTTCTAATTCAAATATTGCCAAACATGTTTTGAAAAATAACCATAATATAAGTTTTAATATCAATACAGATTAAGAAATACTTAGTACCCAAAATTCACATAAATCAATTTTAGAAGAATTACATATACACAATGAAATAAAGAAAAATAATTTTAATAATATTTTAAATGTACAAACCGATTTTAAAAATAATATCTTATATCAACATATTATAGATAATAACTAAATAACCAAAATAATTTATATTTCTTAAAATATTTTGTCTAATAATAACTCATTTTAAATAATCTATCCTATTAAAGTAAATTATTTCTATGTAAAATTACCAATTTGTTTAATTTTTCTTTATGTATTTCTTCATTTATTTTTTCATATTCAGTCGCGTTTTCCTTTTGATTTTGTGGTTTACCTGATGATGAATTTTTAATTTGATGAATACACATATCTTAATACCCACATATATCTACATATCTTAATTTATTTATTTATTTAATTTCTACACAAAAATTATTTATTTAAATATGTATATTAATTTAAAATAATTTCGAACTATTTATTAAGTAATTTTTACAAAAATATCAAATCTGATTTAATAAGGGTATAATAGTTGAACACTTACAAATTTAATTCCCAAGTCCATATTAGTCAACACAAAATTATAGATATTGAATATGAATACACTCATAGGTATGCTATAAAAAAAAAAACAGTTTGATAAAGCAATCTGATAGATCACTTTCCCTCCATTGGATTGGTCAGCAGTTGAGTTTAGAAACAATTAAATCTAGCGGCTGACAAATCTGCTGAATTTAATAACATAATTTTGAAACCCATAATTTATGGAAGAAAGAATTTTGTGAAAATTTAGTATTATTTTGTTGAACTATTTCCATTGAAACTTGTTTTTTTTCGGGCCTTGGCACGTTTTGTAGTAAAAATTTTATATTTTTAAAAGCGGAATCGTTTTTTAGATATAAATGATTCTTCATACGTTTTCAGTAAAATTGAATATATATATACATAAACAACTTTATTAAATAAATATAAAATGGACTGCTCACAGTATGAGTTGCCAATTAGACAGTTTTCTATTCAGTACAATAAGTATATAGCTATTTCTAAGAGAATACATAATGAATCATAGTCAACAAAATAAAGAAGTACAGATAAAATAACAATAGTAAAAATAGAAAAATAGAAATTAAAAGTAAGATAATAATAGAAATTTGAAGGTAACTATCATGATTAAACCATTATTTGTTTAAATAGTATAAAGAATTAAAGGGATTATAATATATTATATAACATAATTGTAAATAATCAAATCATTATTTAAAATCGTCATACAAAAATAAAAACAATTTTGGATACCTATTAGTATAAACTATAATAATAAGTATATAATAGGTACATAAATCTTTACAGCCACAAATAATTGTTTTAACTACATTACGAAAAAAATTCTTGATATCAATTTGAATTTTTTGAAATTACCCTTGGAATCGAAAATGATAATGGTTACATTATCATGTTCACGTCTTTAATATATATTATATATGTTATATATTTATATACAGAGTGATTCACTAAGCGTACTCACCCCATTTTTCTTGGTTAAATTTTGCATGTATTCAAATTCTGATTTTTGGAATTGAGTGTGGAATTTGAATGTAGTTAAAGTTAATATTTTCGAATACTTAGATTTTTCACAACATTACGGAGTATAGTGTGGCGATACCATCTTTGGTTTTTCAAACGAGAAGCAATATTAAAAATTCGATAAATCGACGGAGTATTATTTTAAATAAACGTTGGTGTCAACATTATTGATTTCCGTCAACCCGTTAACGAGATATTCCACTTTTAAGTTTTGATAGCGGGGAGAGTAGTGGAGTGCAATGTGCGCCGCGCGCCGTGCTGCCACACAAATTGCTATTAATTTATTAATTAATTAAATTATATAATTTAAATATTTAAAATCCACTATTAGTTAAATAATTATAAATACACTTTCATAAAATTCAGGTTGACCGAAATCAAACATTTTAACTCCAAAATGTATTTAAAGTAATGCTCCGTCTATTTACGGAATTTTTAATATAAGTTCTCATTTGAAAAACCAAAGTTGATATCGTTACAGGATACTTTTTAAATGTTTTGAAAAATCTAAGTATTCGAAAATATTGGCTTTAATAATATACTTAAGAATTCCAAAAATCAGAATTTGAATATATGCAAAATTTAACCAAAAAATGGAGTGAGCACGCTTAGTGAACCATCCTTTGTATATTATAATATAATCTATTCTATTGTTCTCAAATTTAATTTTATCTTACTCTTATTTTTATTTTTTGTTAGCATTTAGTCATTTATTAGGTATGTAAATTCGACTACTTATTTCTTAAGATAGCTAGTAGATATTTATTTTAATATTTAAATATTTTAAATTCTATTAGATTAATAGATATATATGAGTTATTACAATAATAATATTATTAAAAAATATAATAAAAAACAAAAATGTACATACAAAATTGTACAAAAACATATGATAATAAATAAAACTTGTTTGGATCAATCGATTGGTCGAATAAACCGTAATTGGAATCATTGCAAAGTATTTTTAAATCATCTATTTCAATTGCTTTTACGGAATTAATTGTGGTCTCGAGTTCCCAGTTTCTCCAGTATTCGTCTACGTACAAGTATTATAATTTGATTAGGTAAATGATAATAATTATAAAAATTATTTGTGAAACCCTTATAACATAATGCCATTAAGTAAAACTGAAATTGAGCTAACCATATTCTCTTTCCCAACGTTTAAGATTTTTCGTGTTCTTAATAACAATGTGTTCATCGTCCCGCAATGGTTGAAGAAAAGGATTTACATCAAAATCCGATTCTTCAGACTTTTCGGGCTTGCAGGTCACAAACCCATCAATCCACGGTAACATAACAATGGTTATTATCACAAATACAATTGTCTGAAAAACACACGACTATTATCAATATAATAATAATTGTATGTGTATATATGTGTATAATATGTATATAAAATTGTATATAATTAGGTATTTGTTTATATTATAAATTGCACGGTAGCACAGTAGTAAAAACCTAATATTATTTTACTTATATGAATATACAGGCGCACGGATAATTGATACGTTTATACATTTGACGTATCTGAAGTGATGACAGAATTTATATATATATATATATATATATATATATATATATATATGTATACAGTTGAAGCTGCTTATTCGGAACACGGATAATTGATACAATCGCATTGTTGAAACGAAATGTCTCAGTACATTGAAAATCAATCAGGTTATTTGAAATAAGAGGATATCTGTAATGTAGTATTGAAGCCTCAAATACTTTAACTGGCTAACACTGATGATGTAGAAGAAGAAAACAACGAGTGACCCCTGCCATCAAATAAAGAAATTGTCGAACCCTACAGTGTGTTTCCTCAGGACACCAATCCAACACCGTGCAGATGAAAAAGGCTATGCACAGCATTACTCTTATAAAGTAAATCAACAGTAACTACAAGTTACTCAATCAAAAAAATAGACATCTCTAGATAAGTACAATTTTTTACATAAAATATTATAAGATAATACAAATGTAATACGTATACAATAGAATATGTTTTACAATTTTTAATTTTAAGTTTTTAAATTGTTTCTAATAATATAAATAAATAAATACAGTAACCAATCGTCTATTGGAAACATTCGGTTAATTGACACATTTCACCATGGTCCAAGAGCGTTCCTAATAAACGAAATGTTCAGGAAATAGGAAGTGATAAAAACTATCAGTGCCGTACCCAGGGAGGATACTAGGGGCACGTGGCCCCCTCCCGAAATTATTTAGTGCAGTTTACATAAATTGGTTATATTAATAAAATTTATTATTTTATATATAACACAGTGTGTCCCACAGTGTTGACGGATTTTTCTAAATCTGTTAATATTTATTTTTTTTCTATTTTTTTTTTTTTTCAGTCGGTTTGTCTTTTAGGGAGACATCAATTTGTAGAAACATAAAATGTTTATTTTCATTCCCTAAACATAAAAAAAATATCATTATTATTCCCTTTAGAAAATTTTAAAGATAGCCATTTTATAAAAAATATTATTCTGAAAATTTTAATGTATCATACATTCATATCAGATTAAGAGTTTCTTAATTATAGCCGATTTTTAGAAAATAGGTGTGAAAACAATTAATATTTAATAGAAAAGAATTACCGTGCTGATTGTAATTTCTTATTGCATAACGTGTTATTTTATTAAATATTAATTGTTTTCAAGCCTGATTAAAACGGCTATAATTAAGAAATTATTCATCGAATATGAATGTGTGATACATTAACAATTTTTTGAATAATAATTTTTACAAAATGACTACTTTGAAAATTTCGTTAAGTAAATAAATAAAGTTATTTTTTTTGTCTGTAGGAGATGAAAATAAAAATTTAATTTTTCTCCAATCGATGTCTCCCTCCCCAAAGACAAACCGATTAAAAAAAAAATTAATATTAACAATGCAAGAAAAATCCGTCAAACATGATGGGACACACTCAGTGGCGGTGCCAGATCTTCAAACCTAGGCCAACATTTTTCTTGATACCCATGTATCAATCCTTAGAGATTATTATGTTAAAATAATTAAATAGGCATTATACATTTTCTTTTATAATAATTGTTTGGAAAATCGGTAAAATATACCGATTTTCCCGTTTCTCCTATGTTTTTCACATTTGCTGAAAAAACTCCTGACAAATCAAAAAATGATCTTTAAGTACCACCCCAAGAAAATTTTCTTTCACAAAAAGATCTACATCGTATATATCAAAGTAAATTTTCTTGTAGAAAATAGTATTCACATAAACAAAAAAAAAAATAATAAACATCTTTGTAAAACCAATACATTCTTTGCTACATTCAGAATCTAAAATATAACTATGGTCTTTACATTTCTTCGTATTTCTATATATTTGAAAATATGATATGCATTGTAAAACAAAATTTCTCTGAACAAAAACCACGTTGTCATAGTAATTTATTAAGATATTTAGCTTTTATTTCTATTTTGAACGGTTTGATAGACTAATTCTATTTTTACATAAAATTAACATATTCAAGGTAAAGAAATTAGGTAATAGTATTAAATTTTGTTAGAAATTTAATATATCCTATTTTTTCAATTAGTGATTCACATACAATGTTCAGTAGCGGCCTTATGGTTGAAGCAGGAGGCCAGGCAGATTTTCTAACGAAATTTAATATTTTTACCGGATTTCTTTAACTTGAATAGATTAATTTTACGTAAAAATAGAACTAGTCTATTAAACCATTCAAAATCGAAATATAAGCTAAATATCTTAATAAATTACTGTCACAACGTGGTTTTTATATAAAGTGACACACAAGTTTTTGTTCTAATCTTATCATTAGCAGCCAACAATTGTTTTATCTATTATTTATTAATGTTATTTTTAGTCGATTTATGTCTGAATTTGAGTTGTAAAAAATATTATTCAATCTTTTTGATTTTAAAATATTTGTGAATTATAAGAAAAACAAAATATTTCGCCAATAAAATTACTTAAAAAGTAGGTTCCCAAAAGATTCCCATAATGAATTATAAAATTAATAATTTGAAACGTATTGAACCTACATTTCAAAAGATTCTGTTTCTAGATTTCGGAAAAAAATGAATGAATGGCCAACTCACTAGCACCATAAATAATAAACTTTAATATTAAATAAATTAAGTAAATAATATTAAGTAAATAATTACATTTCCGAATTGTTTAAAAGAATAAAAGATTTTTCATTGCAAAAAAAAAAATGTTTTTATTACCATTTCTGTGTTTTATATGCATTTAAAATGGCTGATAATGTTCATATTACATTTTGAAAAATATCGAGATGATTAATTTTTAAAAATGTGGTTAATAATGCGATTTATTAATTTATACGTCTAGCTGCTTCTCAATTTTGCCTAGACAGGTTTTAGTGCCTTTTGTAAAATTAAGTTTTAGGAACATGTCCCTTTTTTGCAATTAGTGATGCATATATTCTCTTACAAGATTACAAAATTTTATTTTAACTTTACGTTGTAAAACTAAGGGGGTAAAAATAATAAGTGATAAAAAAATAAGAGACTCATAAAATAATAGATGATAATTATTCTAATATCTAGCTTAACAAAAACTGAATAAAAAAATTAAGTGACCTCCCAGAAAATTTGTTCTGGCTACGGTACTGAAAACTATGATGCCATATGACATCGTACGACCTGAAAGGGTTAATATACTTACATATAAAAATAAATATTTGTTTTTTTAGCGAGATAGTTAATGTAAAATAAATTTCCAAATATTTCCATACACATATCGCAATACCTTAGAAAAATCCAATACTATAGCACTATTATATTGTATAACGTTATTTATTTGAAATTCAGATACTACAGTACAATATTCATTAGCGGATTTTCAGCGATTTTCTCGGAGAGGTCTTGAAAAATCATATATATTTATTTAAAAGATATTTATTAATAGATGTCTCTTTTTTTGACATTTTATTGAAATTATATTGGTATCCTGAGGGGGTCTAGGGGGTCTAGAATCCACTATTGGAAATATTATATAGATACTACTGAAATCTACAAATCAACTACTAACCTTAATGTACAGAATGAGGGGTCAATACAACGTATAACGTATAAATCTATGATAGACAATAGTTGACCGCAATTATTCCGTAGAATTTTCGAGGAACCACTCTACTTGCCGATAGTTCTAAACGCCGACATACGTGGCACTCGGAATGCATATGGCGATGGTTCTTAATTACCATTCATCACATTTGAATAAATACGTGCATGATATTTAATTCGGCGGTAATGACCGTGCATGATGTTATATGAAATAATAATTGCGTGCAGTAAGATGCAATGTCTGTTTTATACAATTACCCAAGTAAAATGTATAAAACGCATACCGTGTAGGTGACCATCAAAATTATAGGCACATTGTTCCCAGAACAAAGAAAACTAGATGGGTTCGATAAAAATGCGATGCCAATAACACTAATTAGACCATTGATGGACAATACGATATTACCGATCATTTTCCATTCATTCAACATTACTTTTAGTAACCAAAAAAGTGTTCCTATAAAAATTCGCATCACATACACCTGCTGTGCAACAAGTGTTACGCACGATGAAAGATTAAGGAACAAAAAGATATACATACCACACGATTCATGTTTGAACGATCAAAATTTTAGTTAAATTAATTAACCTGAATTAGCGATTTGAATCGATGTCAAAACATTTGAACCTTAAAAAAATAATGTGACTTAAACAAACGACATAAATAAAGAGAAAACAAACGGATCACCACTCGTCTGCATTATCATCGATCAACTAGTTACGGGAATTACTGCGCTTGCGCGAAAATGGCACACGACATGCGCATCATATTGACTTGCATCCGTTTGATTGGTGAGAAAATAAGAAAAATAATCTGCAGGGTTTTCATGGAGCTAAAAATGATGGTCATTACATTTTCAATGACTGGTTGTACTAAGAAACTATATTCCAAAAATTCACATCAGGGTCGTGTGGAACTAATGTCCATTGGAACAGATGTTTTTTTGAAAGATATGTTTATCAGCATAAATGTATTTAAAAACATAGGTACAATTTAGACAATATTGAAATGAAAAACAAACAAATAACTACTTAACATATTTTTTTTTTTTTTGTAACTAATACTCTTACAGAATTCTTATTAGTCATAATAGTTAAATTAATGGTTAAAAAACAAAAAATTAATTAATTTCAAATGTGCAGGAAGGCTGACAAGACACACTTGACACACTTTCTCTATTCATGCAGCATTTATTTGTGTATCTATGCATTTTATTTAACTATATTATATAGCTACAGCATATAGTATCAGCTAGGAGCATAATTTAATTTACCAACTTAAAATCTACAATGGGGTGTATTTAATTCAAGATTAAAATATATAAAAATACCCAGACATACATAAGCACTATAAATAGACCATGGTTATAGGTGGAAGGCAGGGAAGACAAAAAAATATTATATTATTATTATTGTTTATTTCTTCAAAAAGATAATGAGACCCACTGAATAGGTTCAATATACCTATATATTTATATAGGTATAAATATTTTATAATAGTATCAATGGATTCATTACATAATATCAAATAAGATAAGTGTGTGTGTAATGAATATTACAAAACCTATTAGTATACCTAATATTATAATATTATGCTTATCATCAAACGGTTGATGTTCACAGTATTTTTTTCTAAAATTATGGATTCTAGTTGTGTCTAAAAAAAATGTGTAAATTAATTAATTATAGTATTAATTAATGCAAATCATATTATGAAGTGGAGTTGCCATGTACATTACTACATTAGGTATACTGGTCATGTAAGAGGACTAGAACTCAAAAGTACACAGGGTAACAATACATTATATTAAAATATTATTTTAAGCATTTTTACTTTGTAGAATAGTTGCTTTTGGACTTCTCTCTCAAACTTAATGCTCCAAAGATAATATATCCTTTAGGTATATAGAAAGTGTATTATTAAGTAGATCTACAGAAATGTTTCACTATAACAATATTTTAAAGATTTTAATAAAAAAGCGTGTATCACTTACCAACATAACAATACTAATAATATTACAACAAATATGGTATAAATAGCATAATAAAATTAATTTGAAGTTGATTTAAAATATTCTTAGAGAATATAATAAATTTGGGTATAAGGTATCAGCCAATAACACCCAGAAGTATTTTTAATATTTGAAAGTCTTTTTTAAAAAAAAGTCAAAATTTGTTATAAAACAATATTATTCATTATATTAAAATTACATAGGTTAACAAATAATACCTAGCTGTAGTTTTGAGCATGATTTCTGGAAATAAATTATAGGTAGTATCATGAACATAATACCAATAAATTGAGAATATATTATAATTTCATGATAAAATATTACAATAAAAAATAAACTTTAAAAAATTTAACTCAAAATGAATAATGGACTATAGTTATATAATTCATTACTTTTATTCAATTTATCGATTAGCAATTTCAAGTTCTTAAATGCATTGAATATATCTCGAATGGAGTTATTTTTTAATTTTTTTCCCCTATACAAGGATAGAAATATTTTTGTAATAATATGACACCTTATGAAATAATTAACAATATGTAATAATTTTAATTAATGTAGTATATTTGTATATATGTTAAGTATTTATTACTTAGTATATTGAACAATTATTACATTTTCTTAAACTTGACATATACAAACATATATGGATACAAACAGAAAATGTATTACAAAACTAGAGGGAACTATATAAAATACATAATAATTATAACTAATATCCATGGATTTAATTATTGGAATGTAAAATAACATAGAAATTTGATTGATTTCATAATAAATCGGTATGGTATATAAATAATACATTTTGATATGGTATAATATATTTTCAATAAATAAATCACAAAACTATTTTATTATTTTTCACATATTGTGAGTTCTAGATAAGCAATAAATTAATAGACTATTACTATTAATGACACACTAAGAAAATAAAATCGGTTTGAGACTAATTAAGACTTGACAAGCATACTAAATTTGAATTTTATTGAACATTAACACTTTCATAGTACTCTCATGTAGTACTTTGAGGATAGGCCTTAATTTAGTTATGTCTCTAACAGTAAAATGTATAAAAGATGGTTATTAATCAATACAAATTAATTTGCTAACATAACTAATTTCTAGAACATAAATTGCTAAGTTTAAAAATAAAACACACAAAACAAAAATTAATGAAAACAAGATTAAAACTTAGAAAAACCAGTATCCATAATTTGTTTATAAATAATTATTAAAATTTAAAGGAAAACATTTTATTAAATGTATAAAATACACAGTAATTTATGGAATAACTTTGTTAAAATTACCATTATTGAAAATTTATTATTAAATTCAAGTAAAATTATAAAAGTTTTCTTTATTTTAGGTGACTAACAGAATACTGGTTTTACTTAATCTTTGTAATTAAATTTACTTACTACTCAATTAATAATATATTATATAAAATAACTAATGAATAATGTATATAATATACTAGTATAAATAAATATATATTGATTGTTAATATATTTTATTATGGGTATAATATTGTAAATTATGTAATATGAATATAGTATAAAGTTATGTATATACATTGATTTTATAATATAAAATCAATGGCATAATATATTATAATTAAATAACTTTTTCCATTTAGTATTTTGATAATATATACATGTTTTAAATGCTTTGGCTTATTAACAATTTGTTATAGAAAAAACTAAGTAATTATAAATCCAAAATGTTTATATAAGTGTTGATACATCCCAAATTTTTATAACACGATCCTGGCCAATAGTGAGTACACATTTTCGCAGTAAATCCATTGTAATTGATGTGACACTATGTTTAGCATCATGAAATATGGCCATAGGTGTATGGCTAAACAATATAATATTTATAAATTTATTAAACCATAAACTGTATTATAATTATAATAATTTTTTTTTAATTAAACTTACTCTATATTATTACTACAGAATTTACAAACTCGAACAGGAAGCTCAAATCCCATAGAAGGAATTGTTGACTTATCTTGACTACATTTATCACAAAGAGCACGGCCACATGATCTACAATGATGCTGTCTTGATCCAAATTGTTTGCGTTCAAATATTCCTGTGATATTCCACAAAAATGGCCGACTGCATGTCTCGCAGTTGTCTGATTCAGCCCAAGGTGGAGTCTACAAAATTTTTAAAAATTTCTTTACAAATCCATAAAAAAAAAAAAAAATTATACTAGATAAATAGTATTCTCTATATATTTATCATACATTTAATTTATAAAGAGTTTTATGATATAAAATATGAACTTTAATACTCACTTCTTTTCTGTCAGCATTTAAATCCCAAAATATTACAATTGAATCTTCACCAGCAGAAATTAATAGATTTTTTGCAGATACAAATGCCAAAGATGTAACTCGATTACTATAAATAAAATGTTTCTCAGAATATTTGAAATATTTAATATTTAAAAATATTTGGTGATGTCTAAGATATAGTGCACACTACAAAATTTGGATAATAGTTTGATTTGTTTTGCGATTAGCACATAATTGTATGTGAGAGCATATATATTGATTAAAAAATAGCTGAATAAACTATCAAGAGGATTTTTTTATTAACATTGTCCAGATTTTAATGTTCAGAAAATTGCTACACTTGATACATCGAAGCAACAATTTTAATAAAAGAGTTGTTTACAGAATAATAAAAAAGAAGAAAAATAAACATCATTATAAAACAAATACATTCCTGAGTTCTGAATCTAAAATTAAAAAATATATTGTTTTTTTTAATGCAAAAATAATTATTAAACCAAAAATATGTTTTGATATGTACATAATTATAATAATTATTATAGATTACAAATTATTACAATATAAAATAAAAATTGTTATTTTTAATTTGATTGTACTTGTATAAAGCGTTAAATATGCTTTAAAAAATATTGGATAATTGTATATATATTGTTCTTATCTGTATGAATCTAACTGTCAGTAGATTAGCCACTACACTTGGTAAAGGTGTGACTTAATAGTATCCAGTCAGTGCATATTTTTGTTTTTTATAATTTAAAATTACAAATATAAATTATTCTAAAGTGTGCTAAATAAGCTAAAATTACTGAAATCTCTGAAATATGCTCTAATATGCAAAAAAAACTTTTTCCTGTGAACTCAATGTTAAATGTCTATATTTTTTTTAATTCAAACAACTACATAATATACTCAGTAATAATGTGTAAAAACATTAAATCTATCAGTATTAAACGATATCACATTTTATTAATAAATTCTACTTAATTAAACAAAATTAACTACCCTTTTATCACATCAAAATTAACAGTTTTAAATTTGTATACAAAAGTAAATAATTAATTACAATAAAATTGTATAAGTTTCTGTGCAACAATATTTATCATAACTCATTTATCAGGAATTGACATAATAAATAACATTAATTTAGAAATTAAAAAATGCATACGTATGTCCATGAAGTTCATATGCTGTTCCTTGGCCACCACCAATATCCCAAACAATAATTAAACGGTCATGACCAGCTGAAAATAAACGTCTTGAAGATGAATCCCAAACAAGCTTATCAATACATGCAGTATGACCAGTCAATGTTGTTACGAGTTGCAATCCTTCAGCTTTAATATTGAGCATTGAAATATTACCAGCATAATCTCCAACAAAAACATGGGCAGATTCTAAATCATATCTGATTATTTATAATATAAGAAAAATATATACTATAACAAAGATTAAATTGAGATTAGTACAAAATTATACTAAAATATATATTTTACACACTACACAAAATTTAAATTAAAAGGATACTCTAAAGATGTACACCATGATGTGCAAACGAAAGGTGGTCCAATTGGATTAGTAGTTTTTGCATTATGATACTGAAATCTCTTATCACGTGATGTACTTAAAATCCATTGTTCCAAAACACCATCAATAGATATCTCTGTCCAGATCATTCCAGTAATGCGGCCATAATGTGCCAAAATATCCCCAACAGATTCCATGCAGTTAAAATCTTCTTCCAATATAAATTCCTAAGTTAATGAAATAACCAGTTAAACAAATCTTTTTTCTACATATTAGGTATATACTGAAAATAAAAAATAATAACACTTAATAAATATCAAATAAACTATTAACAGAATAATTTTAAATTGTTAATTATAGGATAAAAAATACATTTTCTCAATAGGTACAAATTTCATCAGATCAAACGTTGTATAATACAATAAATTAATGTAACTAAAGGGCTATGGGAAAAACTGATAATAGTAAAAAGTTAATAAAGAAAATATAGTATAATTGTAATACTATCATTTATTTATTTATTAATTAATATAATAAAGTTGGTACATAAAGATCACAGTCAGTAATATAACAAAGGGTTAAATATACAGTTTAATAAGGTTTTAATATAGTTCTGAAACTTTAAAACTGCAATACTGAGAATTTTAGGAATATTAACTATTATCATTCTTCCCTGTATCCCATTAAATGTAAACAAAGCATTCACGAAACATCGCATACCCAGACTAAATAAAACTATAAATAAGTTAAAATAGTAATTTTAAACTTAGTTACCTCAATAAACCGTAGAGGTAAATTGTTTACAAAATTTAAAAAATAAATAAATTTTGATTATAAGACTACTTCTACATTTCTGTTATTGTTATTATTATTTATCATTCTTACAGAAATTGTTCCATTTTCTTGTCCCACAAATAATTGCCGAGTAGTTGGTCGGTATAATAAATCCACAGCTGGTGATGGTAGATATTTACAAATACTAGGCCAATATTGACCAGAATCTCTTTTCAACCATACTCGAACAGATCTAAAATGTATAAATAAACTGATTATTTGATTAACAAAAATTAAAAAATACCAAAACTATCAAGATTGTGTACTAAATTAGTAGCCTACCTCTGTACCCACGGTATATTGTTTCTGTGAGATTATTCTCATTATCATTTTTATGAGTAGTTTACTAAAATTTAACAGCTCAAATTCAATATAATTGAAGAATTAATTTAATTAATTAAAATCCCAACAAAGAACTAACCTTTAAAAAGAGAAAAGTTCCATCTCCTTTAAGAAGAACCAAGCTACCAATTATGATATCTACATTGAAGCCAAGTCTGCTCTTTCTTTAGTCTCTAAAAAACATCACTTTACTTCTACTTTCATGAGTTACACGCTGTTCTTTTATTTTTATTGGCTAGTTTTTGAATGAAGTAAAAAACAAACTTAGCTATAATATAGATCACTATTAAACTATTAAACTGATTACGTTTTTGAGTTGCTAAGGAATACTTTACCCTAACATTGTATTGAAATTTTATCATTGGGGTCTCGGAACTTTTTTACCAATTGAACATAGTACAGAACACACCACACAGTTTTAAAGTAACTGTTGGGGAACTATTTACAACTTATAATTTTGTACCCAATGTACCGATGTATAGATTATGGAACTCATTCTATTGATGTACTCATTATTTTGGAAGGAGTACTGGTGTAACAACCCATAACTAGGACCTCGGCCTGAAATACTGGAGTGTGCTTAGATATAATATTTCATTTTTAAGTTAGAATAGCCGTGTTTAAATGGTACTACTCTGCCCCTACTCAAACTTAAAAGCAGAATATCTCTTCAATCAGTTGACAAAAATTCAAAATTCAATATTAACACTTTCCGAGATAATGAGTATTTTATCGAGAATTGATCAAAATGTATAATATTATTTTAACCTACACTATAATTATATCAGAAATATGTGATATCATTCTAATAGATGGCTGATAAAATAACATTGGAGTACTGTAATTACAGGTTTAATTATGACTTCTAAAAGAGAAAATACAACAGATAGTTTCATCTTTCATATTATATTGTCATAAATATAGAGAATTTTTCTAGTACATTTAAATACTTTGGTTGATAAATAAATGGCAATCAGTATATGTGAATAGCGTTCTCGAAAATTTAAATTTGATATAATGAAAATTCCAAAAGTTAAAAAAGATAATGATATTAGCACCCAATAGGTTTTTTTTTAATGAAAATAACTTGACTTAATATATTATTGTAAACTCATTTTTTTAAATACTTTTTTTTCTTATTTTAATAATCAGTATTGCAACAAAATTCAAAAAGTAATTATAATATATAAAATATTTTAATTTTCATTTAAGTAAATATATTTATTAATTATTTTTATAACTCTGTCAGTGAGTATTACCATTAGGTGACTCCTTCATGTTATTCATGTCCTAATATAATATAGAACTATCAGACATGCTTATTGTAAATAAAATGTATTGAATGTATGTAAAATAATAATAATAATAAAATTAATTACTATAGTAGTTTTTTGATTTAATGACATTTTTACCAGCCAATCAGAAAATGAGAAAATTGAAAATCTGACCATATATTCCTCATCTCATACATTGTATGACTTATTTTCTCCCATCCCAAAACCTTAATCTTGTACTGATTAAAAATAAAAATAAAATGTAATATGCATCAAATACAATTAGGTATAATGTTTGAAAATACTTAAATTTGTCTGGAATATGTGATAACATGAATTTGTTAACTAAAATTAAATTAAAGTTAATAAACAATTTATTTGTTTACAAGATTTATTTAGTTACTATTATTATTAATATTTAATTGTTTTGTTTTTTATTTTTATTTTATTTTCTGTATTTCTTTTCATTTATACTCGCCTATAAAAACAATAATTTCGTCCTTAGTGATAAATGAAGCAGTAAAATTTGTAAATATTTGTAATTGTGAAAAATTGTAAAACCAACACTGCTAAATAAATATTATTATTATTAAATTAAATTTTTTTAAATACATAATTAATATATTCATTCCATATTTATATAGGTGTCAGTCAGTTTGTCAGATAATCATTTAAAACTTAATTTCAAAATATACCCAAATCAAATTATTGGCAAGTATTAAAATGAAATCTTAATCAGTTATAAATAAGTATCTATATTACACAAATGAATTAGTAATAACCAATGATTTGTATATTTTATGGTTTAATACTACCTTTATCTAACATATAAAATTAACAAAAACATTTTTTTCTTTTTTTTTAAATACTAGTTTATGTAGCTGACAGTGAAAAAAAAGTACTTGTTTGTTATCGCCCCATTAAACAATAGGAAATAAATATGAAAAATAAAAGTATAAATAATTAAATTGTATATTATCGTGATTCTTTAATAGACATTTTAAAACTATTTTCACACATTTCACTAACTTTGACCATATTTTTCTTTTGTACAAATTTAATTCCTGTATCATCATTGAAAACTACTAAAAATAAATCATTACAATTTATTTTATTTTATTTCGTAATTTTTCATAGGTATAGTAAGTAATAACAATAACGAATGTTGACAACGTACTAAAGTCTAATATGAAGAAAAATGCCATCTTCTCATTACCCACCTAAAATAGATCACCTATCATGGGATAAATACTAAAAGATAGAAATAAAGATTCCCATTGTTAAGGAATATATTTATTATTTATACTTTTATTTGTTTTGTATTGTTTGGCGATAACAAACAAGTACCATAAAAAATAAATCTAATGATTGTTGTAATGATTAATGATCATCTTAAAATTAATTATCTTAATCATCTTAAAATTTAAGAAGTTATAGGTGCGACGGTTGAAATATAATTCTCGGTGGTAAAAAAAATATTGAAAAACGCCAAATACAAATATTTTCAGTGCCACCGTCTTGCAAATGTTTCGCGATTGATTTTAGATTTTCCAACTTTCCCTAGAGATATAACAAGTTTAAAAGTACCCACTTATGGTCTGAGAAAAATGTTCATCTCTAAAAGTTTGTCTTTTAGAGTTAAAAAAAAGGTTAAAATATTAAAAAATTACCCATATATTTTCCATTCCTCTACTTTACCTTATCAACATTCTCAAGTTAGAATTTCCATTTTCCCTTAAGGATATGAAATTTTAACACAATTATTTGTTACCAACTTAAAAGCCTTGTCATTGAAATGGTTAAAAAAAATGAAGTATAAAAATTCTAACACTTTGAAACTTTATTAGAGCACTATAGGTACTAATAGAAAACACTAACATATTCCGATATTTTTAAGTTTAAATTTGACTCCGAGAGCCAGACGTCTGTGAACAATACAATTTTTGTAAGTCTAAAAACGCGCACCTCTAAATAGGTCATATCTTAGTGGGAAAAAAGAAAATTGAAAATTGAACCCCACTGGGACACTGGTCAGAAAGGCGCACAGAAAATATATATAAGTATTTGGCCAATATTTCAAGAGCCAAACTTCAACCAATATATTTACAAAATGTTTTCGAAACAAACTACTATACAATTTTGTTTAATATTATATGAAATATAATATCAATTAAAAACTTAACCAAGCATATTAAAAAAAAAATATTTATTTTACCGATCACTCGAAACGCTAATGACACCATCAGTTTCTGGAATTAGAATTGCCTTGTTTACATGATCACTACAACCCTCGAGTTTGGCCAACAATACTGGCTTGCGATTTGAATTGAACTTATCGTGATTTGAGCTTGGGCCTGGTTTAATTTGAGCGGCCATTTTTCGTTCTTTCTTTAAACAGTTAATAGCGATGTAAACAAAGTATTACAAATAAATGTTGACGAACTTCGACAATTATGATTTTAATATACTTATACGATTAAAATCTGCATACTTACACGAAATAAATGTTCAAGAATGAAATATTGTGTTGGTCTAGTGAGAATGTGAGATAAAAACGCTGGTTTAGTTTCTTCTACTCGGTGCTACAATGGCATATCATATTTTCTTATCAATTGAAATAAAACATTTACCACACAGCTTACAATTTGGATTTGGGCTCTGATTGGGTGGAAAAACAGATATCGCCCGATGTGCAACCCGGCGGTAGTGACGTTAACAAATAATTCAATACGTATTACAATGTGTACACTAACGACACTGTACTGCAATGCTTACGCTTTTCAATACAGCAATTGACATATTATATGGTTAAATTAAAAATAATCAAAGGCAAGGTTATTTTAATCAATTTATTTAATGAGTCAATGAGTGTTTGAATAAAAGAAATCCTGTATCTATTAATCATTATTATTATAGCTGGTGTATGAACACTTTATTTTACATTATTGTTTACTCAATATTAATTAACTAATTTCATTAGAATAGAACCAACTTTTATTGATAGAACTATGATTAATATATTATTAACTATATCATCTCAATGTCACTAGAAATGTTTGCTGTGATGTACTTCTTTGAATCAGTCAATTAAAAAAAGAAATCTTTTAGTAATTTCCACTGATTAAAATACCTTACTACATTTCTAGTTGCCATTTTTGTTAAAAAAAGAAAATACTGTAATACCTAACTATATAATAAGAGAAAATTGTGATTTTATTATAAATACCTATCACAATTTCATTCCAAAAGAATTATTTTTGTTTTATTGAACATAAAAATATGGTATTTTTTACCATAGGTGTCTATGGTATATAACAAGTAAATTGCATACTTTCTTACCGTAGGATTACATAATAATTATATTATACTATAATATGTACATAGTGATATACAGTAGTGTACGTAGTAATATATTACTTATAATTAATATATTTATACCAATTGTTTTTTTTAAACACTTTACGTTTAAAAAAATACAAACGTACTTCATAAGATGGGTGAGCCACTGTTGAAGGTGAGAAGTTGAAAAGGTAGGATATAGAGGGGAATTTAATGTATATCTATATACAGAAATTAATCTTTGCTAACCAAAAACAATTCTGAGTGTAGTTTAGTTGTGCATGTTAAAAGGCGTAATATTTACGATTTTACAATAATACATTTTGAAAAATGTTCTGTTTCTTATGAAAACCCCTGGGAAAATAAAAAATGACCTCCCTAAAGGACTAACCCAATCAAATTTCTTTTTAGAAAAAGTACACTTGAAAATCTGAGCAAAATTTCTGGTAGACAAGTTATTCACAGAAAAAATATAAACATCATCATAAAACCAATACATTCCTCAGAATCTAACATATTTGTTCTATTTAATAAAAGTTGAGCATAGTGCATATTTAACTATTTAAGAATATTTTTTAATGTTTGAAGTAAGATGGGGATTTATCAAAATTACAGTACAACAGCTTATTTTATGCCACCAATTCTATTATGTTATGAATTGTGGCTACAATAAAATATATAGCCAATCCGAATAGAATGGACAATTCTAATACAATTATTTATGCCTGAGGTCAATATACACCAGGAAATTGTCATTGAGATTTATTGCTTATAAATTGTTACTTAAGTTACCTTTCTCATAGTATGCTAATATACACATCATGTTTTCATGACTAGTGAATATAGTATTTTCATAAGAGAAAATTTGTTAAGGTAATGAAACATTTTAGAACTTATTGAGTCTAAGCCTAATAATGAAAACAATGATCTCAAAATTTGATAAATAAACTATTTTATTCAATAATTTCTTGGGTTAAGCTTATATACTTTTGGCAACTTTTTCTAAGAGAATTAGAAAATCATTCCAATTCAAATCCAGATGCATTATTGTGAGAATTTAATTAGAAGATTTTTATTTGTGATAATATCAAACCAATGAATAATATAATTGGTTGAATATATTTTAAATTTGTAAATTATGCATGCATACCTTAAAACTATATTTTAACACTATTAAATCAAAACTAGTACAAATTATTGACTGATATTTCAATTTACACTATTAAAAAAAACAAACATTAATAATAATTATGATCTACGATTATACAATGTATCGTATTTCAACTCAATCAATTTTAATAATGACAGGGTTTTAAAACATGGTAATAGGTAGCATTGAATAATACATAGTAAACACACTGCTAAAAAACTTTAATGAACAAAAAATTAACAATTTTAAACTAAAATAGGTTTGTTCCAATTTCTTTTAATTTTTCTTTTGAAGTAATTAAACTGAAAGCAGTTGCTAAACAAAATCCAGCCAGGCCACCAATTCCACATCGTTTAAGGCCACCTATATTAAATTAAAACAAATAATTATTTATACACAGACATATATATATATATAACTTAGATTTGAATTTTATAAATCTATTAATATATGTTATTTTCCAAGGGACAAAGTATTTATAACATATACAGTAAAACTTCTGTTAATGGTCACCTCCAAGACATTTTTTTGGTCCCATCAAGTGTTATGCCTCTAAAGGATGGATACCTCTAAATAGCAGTTATTATTTCTAGTCCCTTCGGTGACCATTATATGGAAGTTTTACTGTAACACCAATATTATTATTATTGTTATTATTACTGAATATATTTAATATAAATAATAATTATGAAATTTAATTACTTATAGTATAAATAGAAATGTATATTTATTTTCTTATATTTTTATAAAGCTGTTTTCACTAACATAAATAAGTGTTTATGTGGTGTATAAACTGAGTTTAAATCTGATAATCAACTGCATTTGGTTGATTAACTTTTAAACACTGTTTCAAATCCACATTAACAACATTTGGAGGTTTTCACCTATGTGTTTAAATATTACACTAAGGTGTAAGGAATACTCTAATCCTTAGTTTAATTTTAAAAAAACAAAAAGGATATAGATTATTGCTTACGAATGAAAATATTCAAGATTAATTTTGTTAGACATTCAATACCAGTAAACTATACAAACATTTGTAAATACTATAAATTAGTTCTTCAAAATTGTAAAAACTCCACTATGATCATTATACTTATATTAAAAAAAAATAATAATGATACATGTTAGATAATTAAGAAAGTAATAAAACTCATATTGTCTAAGACCATATACAATGGATAAAGCCCTAGTTTATCTTGGCTATGAAAAAATACAAGTACATATTAGTGGCGAGTCTAATAAAACACAATATACAAGAATTATAAATAATATTGTAATTATTTTTTTAATAGAAAAATTATATATTAATAAAATATAAACTATTCATTAATAAATGCGGTAATATAAATTATCGTAGAAAATATTTATTTGAATAATTATTCAAATTATCACAATTCATCAATAGTATGATTTAAGCACATTGTGTTGTAAACACGAAAACAAAATCAAAACCATATGCACTCTTTTATTTACATATTGGACATACAAAATATTCAAAAACACTATGAACCAACCAGTATTCTAAAATACTTAGAAACATATTTTGACAAATGTGCACATAAATAGCAATGGCTAACTGTATCCATAACTGAGGCAAATTTAGGAACTTAAAACTACTTAACAATCACTACAACAAATATAAATTACCCACTTCTATCACAGATTATACCTAGTTGAATAAAAATATACTGTTACTTGAAAAATAAAAGATTATAGGCACAACCTATACTGCTTTGTTAAGAAAGAATGTTGTAAATTTCCCCAATATCATTTTGTGAAAAAATATTTATTTTTGATAATCCTATTTCATAAATATAATTTTCTTATAATTTTAAAAAATAAAATCCTAAACATGTATTTTCAACTACTTTTTCATCAAGATGTTTTGATTTTTATATTTATGCTAAGTACATTATTAATTCACTAAGCAAAAATACTATAATTCTGTTTGTGGCTTTTTAACCTAGCATACTGAATTGTACTGAATACTAATTATTGATGAAATACTGAACATTATTTATATTAATTTAAAAAAATGATGTGTTTTTCAACACTGATTTTGAAAATTTTTGAATTATTTGCATATTTATTTTTATTTTATTTTTCATATTAGGTACAGTGTTCTTTCTTAACAAGGCAATATAAGCAAAAATTAAAATTTCAGTAGAATTTTTTTTGGAAACCAACTTGTTGATTTATATAGAAGTCCAGTACTTGTTCCTGCCACAATGGTATTAAGTTCATCTTCACATCCACGAGTTTTTTCCAATATGATGCCGAAAATACTGTAGTACACGGATATTGTACCGAATGTATTAGCTAAGCGAGCTCCGTTTTTAAAAACGCTATTTAAGATTCTGAAAATTGTATAAAATAATATCGCTTAGTTAATTAAAATTACAATTGTTGGTAACAACATTAAATGGCATCATTTACTGTGTTCTGTTGTAAGTACTAGTTTGATTTTCCATTGATGTCATTTTTATGCCACTATATAATCCACGAACGCTTCCAAGTGTAGCACCGATTAAACAAGACGTACCTATTTCCGTGAAAGACAATTCAAATCGTCCTCGTTGCTTAGAACCAGCACCTTCCAGAAATATATATTCTGGCTGAGATGACTGAGGTAATAGTTGAGGGTCAAAGTTTAAATAGGGAGATGGGACCTTTGGAAAACTGTTCAACATACCGCGGTTAGCTATTATAAACAAAATAATAATACAATTACACGACTTGAGAAAAGGTTATAGGAAATTATCACATTATAACAGTTATTATACCTTTATCGTCACCTTCTAAGCTAAACATGTTTGGTAATTAAAAACTTTAACTGTTAATTCACAATGAAATTACTGAGTACTTAATGAAAACCGAAGGATATTGAACATTGAAGACCGAAGTCATCAAAGAACAAATTTGCAAATGAAATGTTTTTGTTGGTTATGTTTTATCAGTTAAAATACGAAAAACTCGAGAGATAACATGATTGACCTTAAGCATGGTTGTCGAAAGTATGTACAGTATTGAATATGATTTATTATCAGTTATATATTACTTATCGGTTATTTTCGATTTTTTTTAACACTTCCCAGTTTCCATGGTGTTTTATGCCGGGTTTCATAAATGACAAATAAAGTTTTTTTTTGCCAGATCATAATTGTCTGATGTGTTGTGTGTATTGTATATTTTGATTAAAATCACTCCAATCGTCTCACTAGTTATTCTGAAACACACATACCTTCATCCATTTGTTTAAACCGGAATAATATAGTATTAACTAAATTAGATACCTAGGTACATGAAAAAAAAATTATTTAAATTTCATAAAAACGAACGCAAACTTGAATCTAACAGAACATAAAATTAAAAAAAAAAAATTAAAATAAATTTAATAATATGATAATAATCTAAAATCTTAGATCATATTATGATCTAAAGATCGCATTGACAATCATTTAAGTAAGTACTACTTTATTATTGTGTAGTAGGTCACTGTCTAGAGATAAAAAATTCGTGCTCGTTTTGTGACGTCACTCGAACTAAGGCCATGGTCTAAAGCCAGAAAATCGACGAATTGACGTGATCAAACAATTAACATTTCGATTCCATTATAAATTATATGCATTACGTACACCCGTTAATTGAATCTAATTAAATCGTGTATTTTTTTTATTTCGCAAAGTTTTGCCTAGAATACAAATTACACAACATAATTGCCTAAACGATGGTAAAACGATTATAAAAAGGTAGGTAAATTAAAAAATATATGCGGTGCGATAACAATACCTAAGTAACATTATATTCTAAATTTACTTTGATAATTTTTTTTCAAAATAAAATAATAATATTCAGACATAAACCAAATTGAACATTTAAAATGACATATCTCTACACCTAACTAGAAGTATATATAAATATACTCAAAGAGCCTAAATATTTTGAGGTAAAAATAAATAATTAATTCAATAAAAATAATAATTATCTTATAATATTGATTATGTATAGAAATTACAAGTATTTACTTGATAAAGACTTGATTTGGGAGGGCTTAGCCCTCCAAACCCCTATACTTTCACCTATGCTTATTTTGTATGGTAGGTACCTAACAAGGAAAGACAAAAATAAAAAAGAGCTTAGGTACCTACTGTAAACAGATACGGCCACAGTTGTAGGTGAATAGTGAGGAACGTGGCAATTATTTAATGTATACCTGTTATCAACGATGAACCATTGATAACAAAAAACGATTCGAAGTGAAGTTTGATTATACATGTTTTGAAAGTTCGTAATATTTACGAGTTTCGACTAAATTTGATATTAGATTTTCTTTATAAAAAAATACTTCATTAAACTCAAATTTGTTTTTTTTTACCACAAAGTACGACTTTTAATAAACCTCCTATCAAATTTTCAAGCATTTATATTAAGCCTAACAATTTAATTTCAAAGTTTCTAGCTATGTAGGTACCAAATAAAAATTATTTAAAAAAACTCTCAAAATTAAAATATCTATAAATAACTCATAAATAACGCAAATGTTTTGAAAATTGTATTATGTCTAGAAAAAGCAAATATTTGTTTTCTGTCAAAATTTCAAGCCTCAACGAATATTTTTGATTGAATTACAATAAAAAAACAAAATTGAAAATAATAAAAGAATTATTTTCATACATTTTTTTTCAAATTTTTTTTCTGGTTTTCTCAATTATTTTGAAAACCCTTCGGAAAATCAAAAAATTTACTTTCTGAATACACTTACTACCTAGCTTCTAAAAATTGTCTTTCAGAAAAGATGCTATACTTTATAATTGATGCAAGATTTCTGGTAGAAAATTTGTTTACAGAAACACAAAAAATATACACATATAAAAAAAATAGTAAAACCATGGATTTTATAATATTTTAAAATGAACGGTAAATCTAATAGATACTTAGCTACACTTCGAAACTAAAAGACCTACCCTACTTAATATAAATTTATGACATAACAATTATAACTGATAAACCAGCTGTATATTGTAATCCGTCATATAAATCCACAAATCTTTTAGAACGTCTTGAAAGACCAGAGGACTTGGTCCTCAGCATAAAAGTCAACGGATTTCCAACATTAACCACCGAACTAAATCCACTAGTGGATTTGCTTCGCAAAAAGTAGCGGACTTTTATTTTCACGTTATAGTGGGCACAGCTTAAGACCTAGTACGACGGACCAAATCCATCGAGGACCTATGGATTTAATCCATTGAAAAATTCTCTCGTTTTTTCTCGGGTTTGGACACGAATGTTACAAAAAATTACGAATTTCTTACTAAATAATGACGTTGATTTGGTTTTAAAATTCCAAAGATTGAGTGGAAGGACAACGGACTCTAAATTTTTAGAATAATATATTTTACAAAATTACTATCATTAGTTATTAGCATAAGGATAACACTTGTAGGACAATGTATAATTGATTACAAGGTAATCAGTTATCATTCAAACACCTTCCTATATATATGATTTCTATGTTTTATTTTTTCGACATTTAGCCCTCCCCTAATTCTTTGTATTTCGTAAAATATACCTAAGAATTAAGTTGTTTAGTTATAGCACTTTTGAGTTATGACCTTCATTAGACACTTTGTTTTTTATTCCTATCCATCTTATCTTCTATGGGCACAATCAATCTCTATACACATAAGTTTGCATCACCTTAACTCTACTTAGTACTACCTAGACTTCATCACCATAGGATATAATAATGTAATGATGTTTTAAAGTTTCTCAACCTTTTTAATGTCACGACCCCCAAAATAGATAAGAAATAAAGTCAATTACCTCACGACCCCCCCCCCCTTATAAAAAACTTATATATTATAAATTATATTGATTATGGTAAAAACTTACTTCTTCATTTTTCTTATTATGGTTAAGTATTCATTTTTTATTTTTAATCTAAATAAAAGGTTTAATTATTTCTGATCGATGTGATCCCTCATATTTAGGGAACGACCCTAGTTGAGAATCGCTGTATTAATCTTATAAATATAGGCACTCACCATCCTTTGTAATCCAAAGCCTTGAGGCATTTAATTATCAAAATAAAATAAATAATTAATTATATCATAAATACCTTTACAAATAGGTAAGTATACTAAAGTAGATGCATCATTTAACATAAAATAAGACTCAGATTTAATTCTTTTGAATGCCACAGATTTTGATCGTGCATACGATTTATACATGCTGCAGCAATCAACGTGGGAGGGGTGGAAAAGATGTAGCCCACAAAACTAGTTCGTGACTTAACAGTTATCCAATCAAATTGAATAATTTATTTTTAGTTTTTAGACAATTTTTTGTGTTTAAAATAATGTTGAATATTGAAACAAAACTGACATATTATGTTAATGTAATTAAAAAATTAAATTCTTAACTTCGTAGTTTGTCGACAGTGATTTTACCAAATCTCATAATATCACATGACTGCTCATCGTATGCCAACTGTTTGCCAATGTAGTAAAAAAAAGTGTACCTACCAAAAAGAAATAATAAAAAAAAATCGGAATGTTTTGAATTTCTGATATTACTTGTAATTACAGCGTTAAGAAATAAGGGACATACGGGATGGATGATTCAAAATATGGGACGAAGGTATTGTTTAGAAAATGTATCGGGACACCGGGATGGTTGATTTAAATACAGGAAGTATGGTGTCCTCACTTTGAGGAGTTCTAAACCCATCATCCTGCCCACATAACTGAAGATAATAACGACACTTCCTATGTATAGAACTACTATAACTGTATAATATTATACCCGATCCGTAGAAAAAAAAATACCTACCTATATATAAATTATAATACACAAATATGGACAGAGTCGAAGAATACTATACACATAATTATGGTTATCACGGTAGATAACCGTGCTATACATAAACGACGCTCTACTGTACTTCATATATAGTAATTACTTTAGGTATTAGGTACTCATATATTATCTTTTATTTTTCTTTGCATTTTTTTCTTCCTAGATTTACAGGACAAAAATACAGTTTTGCCACATTGTTCGTTGGATTGATCATTGCTAACGCAAAACAATTCTGAGTGGATTTCGGTCATAAATGTTTTATAAGGCCGTAATATTTACGATTTTCGTCAACATTTTATATTGAAATTCTTATAAAAAAATAAAAAATAAAATACTATATTAAACTCTTTAGTTAACAATTTGACTTATTGACCACTAAGTACTTCTTATAATGAACCTCCTATTATATGTTCAAGCATTTTATGTTCGGTAATCGGTTTAATAATTTTATCCACAGAGTACCTATCCATACCGAATTAATAGGTATTACGTAAAAAAAAAAAAAATTAAAATATTCATAAATAGCTCAAATATTTTGAAAATTTTACCACGTTTATAAAGTGCAAATATAAGGTTTCTGTGAATATTTTAAGTCTTGACGAACATGTCTAACTGAATTACAACAAAAAAATTAAATTGAAAATAATAAAAGCATTATTTTCGTAGACTTTCCTACGTTTTTTCCCAACTATTTTGAATACCGTTTGGAAAATCAAAAAATTAATTCCTTAAAGTTTGTGGTAATATATCACACCAGGAAAATCTTCTTTCAGAAAAGAATTCTTGTAAACAGTATGTATATATATATATATATAAAACCATTGTATAACCAAAATGTATATTACTTGTTTCGCTCAGTATCTAAAATATCAAATAAATAGGTAGGTAAGCAGGTATTTTAGAAACATAAGAAATCAGTTGACTGATCTTTATATAGGTTAGAATTCAATATAACCGATAGTACAATAATCAGGTCCTGATTAATGGATTTTCCACTAGTAGGCTGGGATTGATTTGGCCGATGACTTTTTTTTTGCTCATCACCCACCTAATCATTCTCGATCCTCTCCCTATAAATTCTTCCATACCTCCCAAAATAGGTCAAAGTAGGAGACACAAATTTGAAAAAAAAATCAATTTAAAAAAATTGTTTTGTCGCATCTCCTGCCATTTAACGGCACTCTAGGCTGCAGCCTTTTCAGCCTATTAATTAATCAGGCTCCGACAACAACTATTATATTAGTGTAATCATATTACGGAAGAAAGCAAGGGAATCGTACTGCTAACTATTTTAAATATATAGCATGGTAGTGTAGCTATTAATTTGCCACTGATAAAAATGGCGGGTTAACAGTATTGCTATATTGTATATTATATATTACTAGGACTCGGAAGTTATAGGAGCTAAAAAAGGTTAAATATGTATGTAAATATGCATGAAAAAATGTTATATATGCAAAATATTATTATGTTTATTACTCAAAAACATTTAATGTCATCTTTAACATGCATAAAAAAGATAAAAATTAAATACGAATCGTAGCGTTGTCGTTAAATTAATAATTTGACTGAGAGGGTAAGAAATAACAATAAATAACTACGTTAAATAATATTGAGTTTTAAATTTAATAATATTGAAAATAAATTGGCTAAGAAAGAACGAGAAATCGATTGTTTAGAAAATATTAAATATGCATACAAATATGAGAAAATCAATGAAAATTAGTTAAATATGCAAATTTGCGTTTTAAATGTTCAATTTTTAAACTCTATCATATAGAAAGTATTTCTAGCTTGGTCTGCCATAAATTCGGCGCGTACAGAAAAATATTTAATTCCTATAATTTCCAAGCCCTATATATTAGTATTGTAAGTAGATTATACGATGTTATATTCGTCATTTCCCCGCTTCCTCGGGTGGCCGTTTACGTATTACACAATATGGATGCCCTCGGGATTGTTCTAAACTTCTATTTCATCGGTTTCACAATAACACGACCTCAACGTGTTAAATATTTTAATACGAGTTCGAGACGTTCCGAGTATACGAGTACCTATACGCGTGGTATTATTATTTTTTTATCGAATTGATACCTGAATGTTTAACGCACGCAGCGGCGACACATCGTCGTTATCTATAATATATTCTATTATTCGACTTTCGAGTCGTCGATGCTATTATTATTATTATTATTATTGTATTAATATTTTGTTATTAACAATTTACGCGGTGGCGACGTGACGTTTTAAATATGCGCGGGAAGTACACGGGAGGCGCCCGCGCACGGGATTATTTTCAACGGTCGACGGGCAGGAGAAAATCCGATACGTTCGGCGCTCGAAGCGCGGGCGGTCGGGGAGAAGTGTTCAAGTGCGTACGTCGACGGCGGCGCGGCAAATCACCCGTGACGCTCCTACGTTTCGTCTTTTAAAAACGCGGCGACCAAACGACAAACGAATAATACCGCACGGCGCACTTGCGATACGATAGGGTACAATATCATCACAACAACAACCACAACAATAACAACAATTAATATTATTATTGCCGTCTTAAAAATTAAAAAACCCCCGTGATACTCGACGACGATAATAATAATAATTATGATAACAACAAAATACAGGTAGTCGCCGCTGGTGCGTTTAGTAATAACATAAAATAATAATAAATAATCATCTGTGTCGGATTTTTTTTCATCTCCGTAGCCGCCAACCATAGACAACACGCAAAATATATTATCATTTACATACACACACACACAAGCGCGCGCGCGTACAGACACACATCACGCACATACACACACACACACATGCGCGCTCGTGCGGCGCACATTCACGTACACACAAACACGCAAACGGTAGGCATCTCTCTGGCGTGCGAGAGTTTATGTACAACTGTACAAGTGTACCACAAATTATCGGAACGTCCGTCGCCGCGCACCGACGTCGTACTACATATTATTGTTATTTTTATTTGTTCGCCGCTCGTCAACACCGTTGTCCCCACGAATTTCACCGTTGGTAAATCGTCGATTTTTCAAACCGAAGGCCGTTTTCACTTTGATATTATATTGGCCACGACAGTTTATTATTATCATTGCCGACCACCGACCGCGTACGCTCGAGCCATCGAGCGCGTCGTGACGACAGACGCGACGCGGACACGTTCGTCCTGTCGCACCTTTATGGTGTTTAGCAACACGTTTGTTGTATTCGACTGCACGGACGACCGCAAGACACTACGGGAGGAGAAAAAACAAATGTTTAAATGGAAGCATCGTCAATTATCACCCAAGTGTCGCGTGAAGATGAACACCTAAAGAGTTTCGATCCGGACAAAGGTAATAAAAAATTACGTCCACTATACCTGTTTATATCCCCGTTTTTATTCTATAAAATCGGCGTCTGCGATTATTATTCTCATTAATCATTATTTCTCTCTCACACACACACACTATGCATACCCGATTACCAACTACTTGGCTAGGTATAATATTGTATTATCAATATTTTCTAACTTGGTTTTTGCCGACCACAATCAATAAACATTCCAAACATCATAATATTTTGATCGGACTGCCAGTCGTCCAAACAATTACATGTTTCTCAGAGAAACATTACCAATTTGTTCCTTGATTTAAATTTTTCTCGTTCCAAAAAATTACACGATTACAATGTTCATAAAATATTGTGTTATTCTACTTTCTTCTTTGAGTTTATCTCAAGCAAACGTGCTTGGCTACTTTAATTATTATCGTCTACTGCTTCTGTCTATTTACTTCAATGACTATCTACTATGCGTAGCCCCGTATAGGTATCCTATATAATATTATAACCTTTATCTTCTTTTTGTTTTTTATTTTAGAATTATAATACATTACTTAATATTTATTCCTTTTTGTCAAATTTTCCTCTTGACTATTGCACTGTATTAGTTCTTTTGCCCAAATTATATATCTTTCCCGCGACTTTTGGACACTTGACTCTCTTTAGACTAAATGATCTCAAACTCGAGATTTAGATGTTTTACACAGGCACATTGAAGCTGTAACATTTTGGTGGAATTTGAATGTTGTTTTAGCTTTATACACCATAAATGAATCCAGGCAGATGCCATTTTGTGTATGGATGTGCCTTTTGGTGGCTACAGTTTTCAACCATGTTTACCTATTTTTAAATTTTATGTTTTCACACAGACTCATTAAAATAAGTAACTTTATTAAATATAATAAGGGAAGACTGCAGTTTAGCTTTCAATCGATTTTTGGCAATTTTTTTCTTTCAAAATGTGTGTTTTTGAATGCTTAATATAGTATTTCAAAATACTTGATTTTTCCAAAAATCGTATTTTAAAATTTGAATTACCTACCAACAATTTATATTTATTGTCAATTACAAAACGAAATTGTTGCAAATGTAATCTGGTAATCATAATTACTTTAGATAAATATTCTGAAAAATGAAAAAGAAAAGAAAGGTAAGATAACAGAGACAGATGCAGCCACTGGTGTAGGTGGGAAGTTGGGGAGGTAGGATATAGACTGGAATTTAATGTATTTCTGTAAGCAATAATAAACTTACGAAAAAACGATTCTGAGTGGAGTTCAGTTGATAGTGATGCTTTGTCAACAATATATATATGTCATTTAATAGTAAAATAATTAAATAACTTTTATATATTTTCTTTAATAAAATTTGTTTAATGTTGTATCAATTTTCCCAGTTTTTCTACGATTTTCCAATGTTTTATCCCGGTTTTTCAAATTTTCTGAAAAACTTGGGAAAATCAAAAAATGACCTCTCTAAAGTATCTCCCCACGCCGATTTCCTTTCAGAAAAGGTACTACATGTAGAAATACGAGGAAGTCTTCTGGTAGAAAAGTTGCGCACAGATAACAAAAAAAATAAAATAAACAAAATTGTATAACTATGAGCTTCTTCGTTTCACTCAAAATCCAAAATGAAATATTGTAATGGCAACAAGTCTGATGGGAGAAAATTTTAATTCTGGACCTTGGGTTCAAAAAAAAGTCAAAATATCGAAAAACCACCTCTATATTTTCTCTTCCCTTACCTGATTCATGTTATGTAGTTAGAATATCTATTTTCCAATTTCCTGCAGTAATATGTAAAATTTTCTTTCATGTAAATGTTTATACACGTCTTATGGTCACCACAATATGATTTCATTATCAATACAGCGGCGACAATATATCAAAAATGATGAATAGGTTATCAATTTGTATAGTCACCTTAAATATCAGTAAGTAGTTGAAATTTCGATTTTTGAATTTTCCGAATCCTTTTCGCAGTACTGTATGTTTCTGCAGCTGTATGATCGCTGTTTTTATTTTCAGTTTTATGTAATAGTTTGTAGCAAAGATACCTATTATACAAAGTTTATTACATTATGTATTATGAATCTTTATTTTATTTTAACATTCTACATTATTTTATATAATTGCATAATAATAATAATATGTTATTGCGGGAAATTGGAAAATGGATATTTTAACTGCATAACATGAATTAGGTAAGGAAGGAGAAAAAACATAATGGTGGTTTTTCGATGTTTTGAAATTTTTTTTAAACCCAAGAGCCAGACTTCAGCCAAAAATTTGACTCCAAGTGATGAAGCTTTGTTGCTCATGGGTGTTTTTTAATACATAAACTGTACAAATTATATATTTTTTTCAGCTTTATATAACAAAACAATATTTGAAAAATAGTTACATTATTAAATTTCAGATTAATTTATTATTTATTTTATTCATAGTTCATTTATAGTTTTGAAAGAACTATTTTAATTTCTTAAAATTATAACAGCTTCTCTTAATACCTACCTACAATAATATTATGTATCCATCATTATCTAAAATTTATTAGCTACCTGTGTCTTTTTTACTTATTTGTTAGGTACCTAACCTAAAAATGTTGTTTATTATAATTATAATATAATATAAGTATGTAATCTTTATTCTAATTTTCAATTACCTGCTATAACTTACCAAATATTAGCTTAATAAAATAAAAAACAACCATATTATATTAATTATATATATATATAAAGATGCCTATTTAAATAAAAGCTGCTTAAGTAGGAGTCTGTAACATTTTAACTCATTAAAGGGACATTTATCTTCAACAAATAAATACATTAGCAAATTGATATCTGTGATTTTAATTAATGTTAATTGTATGCAATTTTTATAGGCAACCATGTTCGAATGAAAAATGAAAGAGGGCTTTGGGGGACATTATTTTGCTGTTTTGGAAAATCGAGAACAAGACCAAATCCTAATTTCAGTCCAAACAATATTCATGGGGTGAATACAAAGGCTGATGGAAGTTTTACACCTCCACTCAACCCAGACCCAATACAGTCGGCTTATTTACTACCTGCTATAAGACACCAAGATATGCATAGAAAATGTATGGTTATTGATCTTGATGAAACACTTGTACATAGTTCTTTTAAGGTATTTACTATTTAAATTTTTAATTTGAAATTCAAAACTTATTAAATCATAAATGTATTTTGTTAAACATTTTGTAGGCAATAAATAATGCAGACTTTGTAGTTCCTGTTGAAATCGATGGAACTGTACACCAAGTTTATGTGTTGAAAAGGCCTCATGTGGACGAATTTCTTCAACGCATGGGTGAACTATATGAATGTGTTTTATTTACTGCAAGCCTTGCTAAAGTATATATACATTTCTTAATATACATTTAGAATACTAAATTTATATAATTATTTCTATGAAATATATATTTACTCAAATTGTTTTAAGTTTTAGTATCTTAATAAAAAATAATTTGGGATCTTATATAACAGTGGTCTTTAACCGGTGGGTCGCGACCCATTTTTGGGTTGCGTAAGCTTTAAAATTGAGTCGCGATAAGTCTTCTTTTTAAAATAAAAATAAAATTTTTAAATTTGTATAAGGTAGAAAAATAATTTTTTAATTATTAAACTTAGAAAATTAATAAATGAAAATACAGTTTAAAAAAATTTGTAGTGTATTATGTATCAACAATATTATATAATTTAGTTTATAATATAATATTATAATGGATATCAAATAACAATATAATGTTTCATATTACACTGGTATGATTCTCCGTAGTAAAATATTGATTCAATATAATAATTTACGAATAAACTGTGCTATTAATAGAATTAATACACATTGTTATCTTTAGAGTAATTTATGAATCCCATAATCTATTAATATTATCAATGTTATTGCTGTATTTAAAAACAAATGTTAGTCGCCTTATTATTCTAGTCGTATTTACATATCCGTTAAAAAGGTTTTTTTTGTTTATTTCGCCAACTGTGCGTTAATACTTTTTCGTTATTTGATAAAGTAAATTATTTAATAAAACGGATACATTTTTTATTTGAAAAAGTGGTCAAATCAATAGACATGAGGACATAACAAAGTTATCCTTCAACTTCAAACGTTGAGGAAAACTTCCGCAAAAAAAAAAGAAAGAAATCCGAATTTATTGGTTGAAGGTATGATGAAAATTATTTAAAATTTGGATTTTCTGCTTTTAATATGGAAGATCATTACAATTTGGTTCAACCAAAATGTGTAGTCTGTGGGAAATTGATCAAAAATGAAAGTTTGAAACCATCTAAATTAAAAAGGTATTTAGATACAAAACATCCAAATTTAAAAGAAATATCTATATAGTATTTCGAATCATTAAAATATAATTTTAATTTTAATAAAAAAATCATAAAAAAATATTCATCAGTTTCCCAGTCGGCTTTAAAAGCATCGATTTTAGTCTCCTATAAAATTGCAAAATGTTTGAAACCATATATCATTCAAGAAAAAACTTCCTATAATAAAAACTTGAGTATATTTTGGAAATATTGGTAATTTCACCAACCTCAGTGAGTCTTTAGAGGAAGATTCTTCTATCAAGTTTGAAGACATTTCTGAATTAGTAAATGAACATTTGACAAACTTAGAAAAATGATTTAACCAATATTTTCCTGAGGATATTCGAATAAATTACGAGTGGATTGAACAACTATTTGCAATAGATATATTGACAGTAAATATGTCTACTGAAATTGTAAATCAATTAATTGAGTTATCATGTGATAACAAATTGAAACAAATGTTTTGTGAAACTTCATTAGAAATATTTTGCGCACACTTATGTAGAATTAGCAACTAAAGCTATCTCAATTTTAATTATTAATTAACTAATTAAATATTTCCAATGACCTATTTATTCGAAAAGGCACTTTCTACTATGGCAAATTTGAAGATGTCTAAAAGAAATAGACTTGAAATTGAAGGTGATTTACGGATAGCGCTTAGTCAAATTGAGCCAAGGTGAAATTTATTATGTGAAAACACTCAAGAACAAAGTTCACATTAAATTGTTTGTATTATATTTTTATTTTGTTTTATTTTCGTATGAATTTGATACATTTTCAATTATTAATAATTAAATATTGTACCTATTAAAATGTAATTTTTATTTATTCAGTTTTAATAGTACTACTACAAATTATTAAGCAATTTTAGCTTTTTACAAATGTAAAGCAAAAAAAGTGGGCCCAAAAAGATTGAGGACCACTGTTATATAATATTATTTAGTGTTAATATAAAAACAATTTTTTGATAATAATCTTATTAGTTTTATTATTTATTTATTTTTTTAGTATGCAGATCCTGTTGCTGACTTACTGGACCAGTGGGGTGTTTTTCGAGCTCGTTTATTCCGTGAATCATGTGTTTTTTACAGAGGAAATTATGTGAAAGACTTAAATAAATTGGGACGTGCCTTACATAAAGTTGTAATTATTGATAACTCCCCTGCGTCATACATTTTCCATCCAGATAATGCCGTGCGTTTAACATCTATATCATATTATATCATAATGCAATATTTAAAATAATATTAATATTTGTTTTCACATTTTTGTAGGTTCCTGTTAATTCTTGGTTTGATGATATGACTGACAAAGAACTTTTACATCTTATTCCATTTTTTGAAAAACTTAGCAAAATGGAAAATGTTTACCCAGTTATTTGTAATCTAAACCACATGGCAAATACATCTACTATACATTCACAATCCATCACTAGTGACAATGTGTTATAGCATCAATTAAGTACAATTAATTTGTGCCAATGGCAATACTTCTAATCTACCATGTTAAACAAAAGTAATAATTATGTAACAATCTTTTAGTGTATACAAGAATAATATTCTGTAATATTTACCTAATTTAGGTATCTCTACCTGTTAAATTTCTTTGGTTTTTTCTTTTTACATAATAAAAAAATAGTAATAATTATAACAATAATAAAATGTAAGAGATATATAAATTAAAGTTTTTATTATAATTTTTAAATAGAAATTTATAATTACAGTGAATTTTTGAATACAATATATTATTGTAGGTTAAACTTGAATTATTAATTTCTATGTGAAATTTATTATTGTTAAATGGACAACAAAACAATTATTATTTGTGATATATATATATATATATATATATGTATTATTTATACATGCCTATGCCAAAAGTCAAATTTAAAATCTATAATATGTATTGTATTCCTAAAGTTTGTGTATTAATATAAACCATATTTTTATTCAATTTTTCATATTTATGTTTTGCCACTTTTATATAATATATATATATTGCCATATATGGCTTTTTTATATGAACTAAATATATTAATATATAATTGTTACAAATGGAATAAAATAATATCATAGGTTCATGAATTTGTATATTTTATTAAATATTAAAAAGTATATTTTATTTAACTAAAATCAAACATTCTCTTAATTTTAATTTTTGTAATTAGATATTTACAAGTTGTCTCAGGAGGATACAATTTTTCTTTTTCTATATACATATGTAAATTAAAAATATTAATCCATATTTCAGATACTTTAAGACCAAACTAGTACAATATTAAAGTATTCATTAATATCTATATATTTACTTTGTAAAATATGTTAATGAAAAAAACTATAATTATTATTATTTATTTAAATATATAATTTTTGAAAAATATTGTGAACTAATGCATTTATAACACCTTAGATAACCTGTAATTTATAACAAATTGACAGTCTGAAATAATTATTGTGTACTCTTGAGATAATCTAAAAACAAAACAATTAATTTTAGTACACATTTTATTATAATACCAATTAAAAAAAAAAAAAAAAATATTTCAAACCAACATTAACTAAACTAAAAATTATTTTTTACAATTTCTAATCATACCTGTGTACACAGCGCAAAAATAACACCAATGTATACATTTAGTTAACATGAGTTTTTTAAACATGTTTGTTTTTATTATAGATATTTTCATTTTTAATTTAATTTTAAAATTATATTTATTTTTAACCTTATATCATCATAATAAAATATACTCATTTATACAAAACAAAATTAATATTAACATTAAATTAAAATATACCAATATATTTATTTTTGTTAATTTAGTAGTTAAAAGTCAATTAAACATTGAAAATTTATTATTTGGGTTATCACACAAACCTGTAGCTTGTTCTTGCTGATGAATATAATATAGTTTGGTATATTTTATGTATTATTATTTCAGATATTTGAATCTCTTATTTAATGTAAAATAATTAATTTTTAATTACTTCATATAATTTGTATTTCATCATGTTACATATTTGTTTGTTGAATACTTGAATAAATGAAGTACCAGTGAATACTTTTATAACCTGTTTTTTTTTTATGGTAATTAATATTGTCATTTCATAGAATATAACTTCAATTTTTTAATTTTTTAAGAGTACTATATTTTTAAGGATTGAAAATTGATAGCTATGCACAATAGGTAGTTTCAACATTGTTACACAATAAGTTTTTTTTTTACATATAATTGACTGGTGATATCTGATAAACTGTAAGATTGGTTTAAAAATATGTTTTTTTTTTTTAAAATAATTGTATTCAACTATATATAATTAATTAAATAAGAGTAATATAAATAAGAATAACAGTTAAAGAAAACTGGAAAAATCCTTGAATAAATCATCTTTTAGGCTAGAAAATTAAATGTCGAAAATGTTACAAGATTGACATAAATACACACACTAATGACAAATGTAGTGTGGCTTTTATGGATTTCTCAACAGGTTTAAAATCCTGAGTTACAATCCCAACAAAGTTAAAATTCCAATAGGCAATATCACACAGAATTTCGCAGACATGATTATCAGCATCTTTTGAGATTGTGTAAGTGATCATCTAATTATGTCCATTAAAAAATTATATTTGTTATCAACTTGTAAAAAAAAATTAATACAATAAAATCAAAACATTCAATAACTCCTAACATTATAATAGAGTGAATATTTTACATATAAAACAAATATTCCAAAGCAAGCCCCTTCAATATTGTATGGTATGTGCAAGGCTGGGCAAGTTAGTCATTTTTTCAACTAGTTAAAGTTAAGTTAGTTTAATATATAATCTAGTTATGTTAGAATATAAGTTGGTTTTTAAATTTTCCAAATTTCTAATTAAAAAGTTAGTTAGGTGAAAATAGTAACTTAAGTTAGAAAGTGGTTTTTTTCTTTAAATTTTAATTTAAATTGAAAAACCAGCTCAAATGTAAAGTATTATGTAAATTAATTATTAAGTAGGTAACTAACTTAAATTATTGGTGATGATTGAAAAATTAAATTGAACTGATCAAATGTTTCAAGTAGGTAGGTAATAACTTTAATTTCCTGAAAATGATAAGAAATATACAAAACAGTGTTGTACTATATTTGTCTATATTGACATAATCATAATAATATTATATAGTATAATATTACTTATATTGATTATATTTTATAGTTTTGTTATAAAAATAGACTACAAACATAATATAATAGTCTATAGGCTATAAGTGTATAATGATTACTATGTATTATCAATTACCGTGGACCACAGAGATATATAATAATATAATATAGAGTATATTCTTATCTATCTCAGTGCCATAAACATATAAAAACAACTAGAATATAGTAGACTACTTAGATCATATACTTATATGGTATTATGATCTAAGGCCGACTATAATTTGTCATCAAATAACATAACAAGAAAAATGTTTTTGTCATAAAATTTAAAATACTCAATATTTTACAGAACATTTGGATTTTAGAAATGAAAAATAAAAACAAAAATAACTAGTTTCTTTTAATTTTTAATGGGTTATATTAGAATATTTTCCACATTCAATTTAATTAGTTAAGCTTTAAAGTTATTATGAATAATTTGCATGTGACATTTCATAAAAATATTATTACCACACTACTTTGGTGTGCATTGAGTCTAAGATAGTGACAAAATCTGATTTTTAAATTAAAATTAAAACAAAATTGTTACTGATTATGTGGGCTAGTGTTATAAGTGAAAAAGTTACAAGGGAAGATATTATATTATTATGTTTTATTTAAATAAAACATATATTATTGCTAATGGATGCAATTATACGATTAAAAAACAAATAATAATAACAATAATATAGTTAAGCTGTTAAAATTGTTACGATTCATTTTAAAGAAAACAAGAGCTGATACTGAGGAGAGGTGTTCCACTGTTGTAGGTGGGTTATAATGATCCTTCTGTTAAATTTTTAATAATTTCTGATTAATCTAAAATTTTTATTCATATACATTTTGCCTACAAAATAAAAATTATATAAAAACTATCTGAATTTAAATGTATAAATAGCGTAAATGTTTTGATAATTTGATCACATATAGAAAAGGAAAATATAAGTATTATGTTAAAATTTCAAGTATTTACAAATATTTTAAACTGAACTACAACAAAAAAACAAAATTAAAAATAATAAAAGTATAGCAATAATATCATAGGAGATTATCAAAGTTGTTTTATGTCAGGCAGATCAACAATAAACCATATATTCACACTTAAACAAGTAAACAAGTAATAAAAAAATACTATGAATTTAACAGGCTGTTTCACTTACTCTTTATAGATTTTAAAGTACAAAGAGCAGAAATATGTTTAAAGTTGTTTGAATTAACTGAGGCTGATACATTTCACTATTGGCATATGCTGATGACGTTTAATATTAGGCGAAAGTAATCAAGACATTCAAAAAGCAACAGAATCATTGATACATGCAAAAAATGGAGACTCATCATTAATGAGACAAACAAAATACATGATGTCAAATTCAATAGCTGTCATACACAACATAAATCTGGAGCATGTTTGAAGAAGCAAATAATTTTAAATATCTAGGCACAAACAACAACCATGAAGAAATCAAAATGGCATTATATAAAGGAATAAGTGTTTTCATGTCCTCTTGGAGTTAATAGCTACTATTAAAAAAAAAAAAGTAAAGAACAATTTTACAGAGTACTAGCTAGACCAGCATGCAAGGAGATTAAAATAGATTAGCTATCATTTAGAGAAAATTATTATTAAGAGAAAAAGACCAAGCATAAGAAATTAGGTTTAATAGAGAAATACAGGAACTAATCAGAAAATTAAATATAACAGCAGAAATAAGATACAAGAGACCGAGTTGACTTGGACTAAAGGCTAAATCAATAGCAAATGATGTAATGAGCTGGGTTCCTCAGGGAAGGAGGCCAATTAGAAGACCGAAACAGAGATAGATTGACAATAGTAAAAAAGAGGTAAGACAACTTGGGATAGAAAAGGTCAATGAAACAGCTCTGAACAGAGACATATGGAAAGAATTGTGTTTTGTAGCCATAGGCCTCAATGGTTCCTAAAGCTGAAAGAAGAATAAAAGCATTGTTTTCATTAACTTTTCCTATTCTTTCAACTCCCTCGTTTGTTCAATTAATAAAAAAAAACTACAGGAAAAACTAAAATAAGACTATTACTTGTCAAATATATTAAATATGGAACAAAAAATTATTTTGTTTTTCTATTGGAGCGATATTTCTGGTAAAAAGACATTGCGACAAAAATTAAAAATAAATACTGTGAAAACTATGTTGGATATCAAAATCCAACTTTTTTTGTCAATGGCTATATATTAAAAGAAACAAAATAAATATCTTGCCATTTTTTGGTAGAAAAAATTGTGAACAAAAATTTAAAATAATGAAAATGGTGTGCTGTAAATATTTTCTGTTTTGCCTATAATTTTTTTTTGTGGGCTTTCCTAATTATTATTTTGAAAAACCTTTAGACGATCCAAAAATGATCTCTAATGAACCAACATTTTCTTTTAAAAAAGGTACAATACTTGAGATATCAAAGTAATTATATCAAAAAAGACAACACATCATAGTAAAACCAATAAATCCCTGCTATGCTCCAAATCGAAACATATAGTAAAATCAATTGATTTTAAGAGGGGGAAAGAGATGTTTGAAATCAAATAAATAAAAAGAAAATACTTGACCTGAAATATTTTTAGTGTATTGATTATTTATATTTAAAAATGTCACTAATAATTAGCTATAACTGATGATTATAATAATATGTAAACCATTATAACTATTTGAATAGTTTTCCAATAATAATAAAATATGAAGCATAATTTTATAAGGATATATATATATTTATATATTAAAGGATCAATTCTTGAAATTTGAATTCATCAAATTTTATGAGAAGTCATCATTTAGTTAGTTGAATGAAATTAAAATTGTATACTTTTCGACTAGATGTCAAATAAAAGTTTCCCACTTTCAATAGGTGAAAGCAGTTTTTGAAAAAGTAAAATAAAACCTATATAAAATATTTAAGGTTAACAAAATATAATTGTCATAATTCAAAAAATAATGTGTAATATGGTTATGGTTGTGTTGTGTTAAGTTTTAAATTAAATTTAATAAATACATTATTTGTAATAAACATGTTTACATAACTAATGATTTATTTGTTACATAATTATCTTAATAAATATTCTCAGATTATAATCAACTCTTATTATTCTTAAATATAATCAATTTTGAAAAATCAAAAATAAATGGATTATCTTATTGTGAACTAAATTGCTACTGCACTTTCAATTAGTACTGAAACAGTATAATTTTAGGTTATTTATCTTTATTTTTTATGATTTCAAGAATTGATTCTGAGCGCAACAAGTTTATATAATGCATAATAAAGAATTAATACTAATATACATACATTTTAAAGCTATTTCAATAAAGTTTTAACAACTTTACAATGTATAAATAATGGATCTTAATATTTTATATAATAATTATGAATTATTTAGCTTTCAATTATATTCCTCAACTTTCATATCATTCAAACCAAGTTCTTCATTTTGTTCATCAGTTCTATCAAACTTAGTGATAGTCAGTTTTGGATCCAAATCTGGCGGTGTTAAACTCTTAAAAAAAAAAAAATATATATATATTTTGGGCGATACATATATGCTAAACCAGCAATTTTCAGAATTTTAGTGAATTTGATTAATTTTTTTCAAACATGGAATCCTCTAAGCTTTATTTAACACTATTTTTAATTTTTTACCCCTATTAATACCTTTAATTTATATACACTTTTAATACTCTAATAGATACCCCTTAAATAGAATAAAGATTTTATTAAAGAATATTTTTTTTAAACATTTTGATATGCATAACATTAACCACATTATTTCTTTTGTTTTAGATTAAGTATTATGTTATTAATTTGAAGAATATTCAATATTGTTAGACTCACCATCTTAACTATCTCATATCCAAAAAAATTGATTATTTGAATCATAGCATCATTGCTAGAAATAAAATACCTACTAACTGTTCTTGTAAAAATAAAAGTTAGAAAATTATATATATATAAAAAAAAAAAAAAGGATATCAAATTCACTTAAAATCCTGAGAAAATCACTAATTCATAATAAATTAATCTTTAAATATGTCATCATAGTATTTTTTTTAAATACAAATACACTCAGCTACACAAAAATTCATATCTCTAAAAATAAGTTTCAAAACTTGGTTTTTCTAAATCAATACATTTGATACAAACAATTGATAAATATTTGATAATAGTTTCATTTCATAAACAATAATTATATTATAATTATTATAGGGGATATTAGAAAAATTTATAAATATATCCGATCTTATCTTATATGCTTAGGCTATAGTAATAGCAGTTTAAAGTGTCAAATGCAGGTCATTCACCAAAATCTAAACATTGAAAAGAATATATGTGAATATACTTTAAATAATTAGTTCCAAAAAAATATCTCATTAAACAAGATTTCCAATGGTATCAAGAGACTGGTCCATCCAGATCAGTCTAACAATACTATACAACTAAAAGAGACTATCGCTTTATTGTCTTGACTATTTACGCAATCGATTTCCAATGCTGTAAAGCTGCAACAGCAACTCTACACAGCTTGCTGTACAACAGTAAGCATCTCTATGGTTAGGAGAAAGTTAGAAGAACAGAAAACTGTGGCCCACAGACCAGCTACTGGTCCAAAACTGACTACACAGCACTGCAAGTAACAGTTGCAGTTTTTCCGTGAACACGTTAATTGGACTTTCAGCCAATAGAGGACTGTACTTTTTTTTGGATGAAACGAGGATGTGTGTATTCTGCAATGAGAGACGAAAGAAAGTGTACCAAAGGTAGGTTTGCAAAAGCTTGTACTGAGGAGACAGTGGAGTATGGGGGTGGCTTATGCATGTTCTGGGGTGGCATTTTCATCACCAGTAAGACTGTGCTTGTGTGCATTTACTGGACCAGTGGTATTCACGACCAAGGATTGATGACTTCTCATCAATCTCAAAGAAATCCTAGAAGAGCGTGTGATACCATAGCGTGTTTTGTTGGCAATGGGTTTATATTAATTTCATATAGATTGTTCTCAAACCGCATTAATTATAAGAAATTACACAGAAAAGATTAGGATCCCTATTATGCACTGGCCAATGAGAAGTCCAGACCTCAACCCAATTGAGAACCTCTGGGATAACTCTGTGAGGTCACGTGATCCTATCCCAACAACCCTCTATGACCTTCAAGATGCTATTGTTGTTGCACTAAGGCAAGAGGAGGTAGCACTAGATTTTAAATAACATTTAATAGCGGTTTTTTATTTTTGTATGAATTCTATCATTTGTTTTTTTTTCAATAATTTTTTAAATGATGTAGCACAACAGCAACCTTATATTTGATTAAGTTTAGTTAAAATTATTTTGAAAAATAATTTGCAATAGAAGCGATTTTTGGAACACTGAATGTATATCAACAAGATAAACATCTGTAAATATGTTAAATAATGCCTGTGGGACTTGATATGTGTAGAAGAAAAACAATAAATAGAAATTGACTGGTATGAGGATAGGTAACCAACTGGGGTAGCTGATCCCAAATAGCTGGAGGAAAAGGCAAAAAGAAGAAAATGGTATTATGTAGAATGATAATTAGTATTGAAACACACCTGTATGTAGCTATTTCCAGCTGGATCTGTAAGTATAATATCAACTGGCATTTCACATAATTTTATTTTTTGTAATTTCGACAAAAATCTTTCAGTTTTGGCAATCATTGTATCGCACTGACTATCTCCGGAGTAAAAAGCTGTAGCAGTATCTTTCAACTGGTCATATAATGCTCCTAATAGACCTTCAATAGTAGTAAAACGGCCACTCAAAGAAAGTGGGCCAGCGTCAAACTCCAATTGAGGAATTTGTAGAGAACATGTTTCAGACTGAAAATAAATCAATGTCATGATTACAGTTTAATTAATATTTTAGGCATTATTACTTTTAAAATGTCTCTATTTAAGTCTTCTGGAGATGAAACTTTAACAGACAGTTTGATTCCCTGTTTCTCAATACCACCTCCTGGTTTAACCTCATTGGTACGATAACCACATTCATCACACAGAGTAGCCATGATCACAACTTGTTTAAAATATGGAATATCTATAAATAATTAAATTTTAATAATAATATACTCACTATTATATATATTGTTACCAAACAATTAACAATACAATTACCAGTAACTTTCATATTGGTTTCACATATTGCATAACAGTTAGGACAAGGATTATTAAACTGGACAATTTCGTCTGCAATTTCAGTCACAGCAGATTCATTAAAACTACCTAATGGTTTGATAATATTTTCAGTTTGGTTTTCCGTAGCTAAACCGATCATTTCATTTTGAGTACTATCTCGATTAAATGATTCAATTTTCATTCTAGGATCTGCTGATGGTGCATATGGATTTGAAACAAATATGTTACCAGTCACATCTTCAAAAACCTAAAATAATATAATTCAAGTGAGTATGAAATATTAAAAGTAATAATGTACAAATAATTACCATTGGAAGGGGTATACTAAGATTTTTAATGTTGACTAGTCCAGTAATTACGACTTCCATCTTTTCTGCGAGTTCGGGATGAGTTTGGTCAATTACTTTTTTTTGTTCACTTAAATTAATGATAGTTTTAGAAAGAATACCCTCTATGGTAGTTACTTGTGATTTTTGAGACATTGGAGGTATTTCAAAATCCAACTCTTCAATTTTTATACTTGTGTAATCCGTTGTAATTACATATCTATCCAAATCTTCTTTGGTTTCAATATCCAAATTAATGCGAACTCCTTGTTGTTTTATTTCAATGGCCGGGTCCAACTGATTGTTTTTATAATCGCAATGCTGACATTCAAATGATGATATGACAAGTTCTTTATAAAATGGTATGCGAGTCAACAATATTCGAGTAGTGCCCTAAACATAATGTTATTTCTTTTTTAATTTCAAATAGGTATCAGGCTCTATCTTATTATTTAGTTTATTCAATAGCAATTGTTTACAGGAAAAGACATTTTGTAAAATATTGCACTTAATTAAATTATATAAAACCAATGACAGTATTACAAAAACACAATTTTAAATATTGGAAATCAATATCATGCCTAACAATGTTATCAGTAGATTACTAATTTGAAAATACAAATGAAGTGTTATGGGGAAAAACAATAAAAGCAAAAAAAAAAAAAAATAATAATAAATAGGTAAATAGGAAAGTTATAATATTATCATCTTATCATTTGGTTCTGATATGCATTGGGGCATAAATATCACAGTGATATAACAAAGGTATAAATATAAGGTATAATAAGGTTTTAATGAACATTTGAAACTTTAAAACTGCATCACTGAACATTTTAAGGATAATGACTATTATTGTTCTTTCCCATAGCCCTTCAAATGTATGTACCTAAACAATAATAATTAATATCTTTAGTTTTTGTAGTCTATGCGTCATGTAAACCAGATAAAAAAAAGACTCAAAATGGTATGCATTTGAATAAATTTGTTATTTTCATGTCAATATTGATAATTTACAGGTTCCAATGAATAGATAGTACACAAAATTAGACTAACATAATGTTACATAAATCACATATTTTATCTGCATAATGTGTTAATTTATGTACCTATGTAAATATTTTTTTCCTTTTAACAAGATTTGAATACAAAATAAGGTAAATACATTAGAATATAAATTACAATAAGTAGATATAAAATAATTGTATAACTAATGTTTAAAGTATAATCAAAAACTACACTTACGTTTTTTCCGCAGCTAAAACACAGGCTTTCGATTACGTTTACTTCCAATTTCTCGATGTCTAAATCTTGGAATATGTCGTTTGTCTCGACGCTTTTACTGTCAGCCATGACTATTACCTCGATTGGGATTTTTTTTATTAATACGCGGGATACGGTGATTTTAGAGAAATTAAATTTTTAACTGTTTTTAAAATGTAGATATCATAAAGAGCAATGTGGGACTGAAAACAAAACCGTAACGTCTACGTCCATAAGGCAATTGTTTGAACGATAAAAAACTAATGATAATGGAAACAAATGTAAAATGGTCCGGGATTTGCGATTATTAAAGGTTTAGCATGGTTATTCAATCTATAATCGTGAGGTTTACATACGTTTCACTAACATTATTTGATAAGAAAACCCAGTGGTTCCCAAATTTGTATATAATGTTGACTATTCAACTTCTGTATTATTGTAATGCTACTACAAAAAATTATAGTTTAATAATTTGGGTGTAGTAATACTAGAAATTCCATAGACTTGTAAATTATAATATAATATATTATAAGTCTATGAGAAATTCGTTGGTACAAACTGGTGTACCGATACATTTGTGCCGGTTTACTAACACTTGATACAGATTATTTTACACCAGCCATAGATAACAGACAATGGATATCAATGTATCTCCACCATTATCCAAAATTAACAACGATAAAGTTATACTTCCCATTTCTCACTTATTAATTTTGTTAGGTAATTTTATTGAATTATCAATATCACAGGGGGATGCGTATAAATACGAAAATATTTTGTAAAAATGATATTTTATTAAGTTTATATTATTTCACTTAATTAATCATTATCGATTTGTATGCAACGTTTATCTATTTCACACGCGATGCGTAATATATTATATTATTTATTTTTATTAAAGATAATTGTTCCTAGTGTAATGTTTATCTAATATGTAATATTTGTTTTTATTATTATTTTTAAATATTTTTTAAATTTATTTTTTAAATATTATTTTTAATTATTTATTTAAGTTTAGGTTTAAAATTAGAGAAAATACATAGGATAATAGAATTTGATCAAAAAGATTGGTTAAATCCATATATAGAATTTAACACAAATCTTCGTGCAAAAATAGATAATGAATTTGAAAAAGATTATTATAAGTTAATGAACAACAGTGTATTTGGTAGGACTATGATTAACACAAGGAATCATAAAAATATAAAATTAATTAACGATGAAAAAAAAATAATAGAAAAATGGGTTGTTAAACCAAATTCTGATCGAGCAACTATTTTTACAGAAAACTTAGTAGCTGTACATATGAAAAAAAACTATGGTTGAATTAAAACAACCAATTTATTTAGGAATGTGTATTTTAGATTTATCTAAAACTCAAATTTATGATTTTTATTTTAACGTATTGAAAAAAATATCATATTATTATACACAGATATAGATTTTTTAATAGTAGAAACTACAACAGATGATTTTTATACAGATATAAAAAACAATAAACAACTTTTAAATGAATTTGATTTTTAAGATTATCCTGAGAATAATAAATATGGAATAACCCAAATGATTAAAAATGTTCCAGGTAAATTTAATGATGAGCTCAATGGTCAAATAATAACTGAATTTGTTGGGTTAAGATCTAAATGAATATATCATTTAAAGTATTTGAAAATAATAATGAAATTAAAAAAGCAAAAGGTGTGCAAAAACCCATAGTTAAAAATGAATTGTTTTAATTATTTTATAATTGTTTAAAAAATAAAAATCCAAAATATGTAAAACAGAAAATTTTTAGAACAGATAAACATGAAATATATACTGTTGAACAAAACAATAAAGGTTTTTAGTGCATATGATGATAATAGAAATATTCTAGAAAATGGTATAAAAACTTTATTTTGGGGACATTATTCAACAAAAATAGAAAGATAAAATTTCAGAGAATACTTTGATAATTTAATAAAATCAAATAATAAAAAAGAATGATAATTTTAATATAAATTATTTTCAAGAAATAATCTATTTCACGTGTAATATATNGCCATAACCAGCATATTCATACTACTCAAATATATATTTATAGCCATAATGTCGCTTACCGTTTCAACGCTCTATTTGTATTTAATATATCTAATTTTCTAACTAAATATGGTTGTAATCAATTTTTTTTCGACAAATTTATTTTCGGACAAAAAACTTTTCCAGTATAATATTTTTCTAGAATTTTATTTTCGTCAGCTATATTTTCGTATAAATTATTTTTCGACTAAAATACTTTTATAATTAAATATATATTTCTACCGAATTATTTCCGAACAAAATATAGGTCACCTATCACAGGCGTTAAAATTAATTTGAATATAAACTAGAAATTTGTTTAATTATACCAGTGTAACAGGTGAATCTGACAAATGTGACTGCAGTAACTTAGATTAGCCCGACGTCACGCCTGTTAGTCCGGGAAAATGTGATGTCGGGGAAATCTGACTCCACAGCAATTGAATTAAATTTTATTTATTTATACTATGTATATTTCAAGTTATTAATCTCCAATTTATTTTACATTTCCTTACCTATTGATTATACTAATTTATTATTTATTGAATTACTGAATATTTTTTATTCACTTCGGATAAAACCGTTTAGAATCGCACTAACAAACCTTTACATGACAAAATTAAAAAAGTAAAAACGAAGCGTTCAAATCATACTTAAGTGAACTTTCTGCAACGAATAATTCATTATGGAAGGCTACAAGACGCATAAAGAGTCCTAGAGTCTATGTATCGCCTATCCGAATGGAATGTGGATCATGGGTACGCCGTGAACAAGATAAAGCAGATATGTACGCACGTCATTTAGAACGTGTATTTTAACCAAACGAAGTGGTTTCCGAACTCGACATAGCTCAGTGTCAACCACTAAATGATAAAGCACTTTACTCCGGTTGAAATCACAAAAGAAATTGATATGAATATCGTAGTTGTTGTAGGTGAGTTTATTTGTAGAGATGGTCTTTAATTGATGATGGAAAGAGCGAATGGACACATTATTTTTATATATGTCCAGATCTCCATCACCGAACAGACACTTCTTATAGTCGTTAAACATCATATAATTTTTAATGCCATGTCCTCGAATTTCTTTTGCCTTGATCTTCTCCACTCCAGCGTACAAAACTCGGTTATTGTTTTTCCATCTGATTCGTTAGAGAACAAACCCGGTATCTTCTTCCTTTCTGCGACGTAGCACGGGTGGCCTCTAGGTAGGTTGGCGGTGTCCGTACACTACAAAAGCCCTGATCTAGTTAGTAAGTCAGCATAAAAGTCCCTCGTAGCAATATGGTACACCAACGGATCTGAAAAACAATATAATATGTATAAGAAAAAAAAAATAATAACAATTTACCTGTATCAGTGTACATCAAGTTGATAGTGTCTTTGAAATGCTTCCTCATAACATTATAATCATAGTCGTACATTTTGGTCTTGGATATGTCCAGCACAGCAAATCTTGTAAACATATGAATACAAACATTATTATTAGATCTTAAATAATATATAATATATAATTTTAAATGAGGTTCTTACCTATATTAATTGGTTTGTAGAAGTATATTATTTTGTTCTCTAGTATTACTACACATAGATTTTCCTTGTAGGAAGTACAGTGTTTAAACGTTGTTTGTAAAAGTTTGTAAAAGTCTTTCTCAAATTCCTTAGTCGCCTACTTCCTCATCTCGGTATTCAAGTCAATATAATCCTTCAACCACAGTAACTGATTGAACTGCATAACCCTATGAACCTGTCACATAAATAATACAAAAAATACAATAGATAAAATTAATAAAAAAAAAAAAATAAAAATGATTTTACTTTTTTAACGACAAGACCGTTTACCATGACTTGTTTCAAATTGATGTAGTGAATAATATAAGATGTCTTTTCCTCCAACCTAGCCATCAACTTCTTCACCTTAGAACCTGATGGATAATTGTTATTAGGTAGAAACAGCAGATCGTCATGTTCTACATGTAGATTTTCGGAAAAATCAATGTCCACCTTGTATACCTGCCATATGGGCGAAATGTCGTCTAAATCCTCGAGTACGACTAGTGTAGGTTCTGTTCACTGGAAGCCACCATAGGTCATGTACTACGACCTCACATGCATGTTGCACATGCACATTGCACATCACTGCATGTGTTTATCTGTTTTTATTTTCCTTTAAAGTTATTCATGATTTATGTTAAAATAATAGACTCAAGCTTCATAAATCATCAGACATGGTTCAAAACAATATTGTAAATTCAGTTTATGTCATAATGGCTTAAAACTTTACAGAACTGATAATTGGCTATAGGTTCTAGTGTTACTATATTTTATGTAATACATATACGAAACCCAGGAAATATTCTGTGAGCATTCTCTTTATCATTATCAAGTGACAATGTAAATTTGTTTGATACTATTATATTAAACTGGTCTTGTTCATTCCTACCAATAGTACTTAGTTCATACTAAACTACATCAATCTAAATTGAAAATAAAAAAAAAAAAAAAACATAGAGAGATTACTAAAATAATAGTTTCATGTTTATCAATTTCTTTTTTTATCTTTTTAAAATATTCTTTAGAAATAAAAAATGCAAAACATATTTGTTTGTATTGGGAATAATTAAGATATTTTATACCAAGGATAAATAATTAACCTTTTTTTTTTTATTGAAAAGGAAAAAACTAACTTCTGGGGTAATGACCAATTAGTCTTCTGTACATGCTTTTCCGTGTGTGTTACATTAATACTTAAGTTTTAAGGTACAAGATATAACATTTAACAATTTATAAATTGTCTTTACTTATTGGTTATAGGTTGTTTGCAATGTTAATTTTTGTAAGAAATATTAAGATTTTGGGCTTCATCTAATCGGTGAGGTATTAATAAAGAGATTCCTTATCGGTAATGCCCATATGTGATGGTACCCACATAAATTCTATATTATTATTTTTTTAAAAAAATTTATAACGGTTTGGAACCCAGAAGGTTATTTCATTGGTAGAGAAGAGGTTTTGGAGTGCCAGAAGATCGCTAAGAGAGTCGCTCAGTTTTAGTATGTTATTATTTAAAAATGTCAAATTAATTAATTTCAATGCTTCTAAGATGGCGTAATTTTCTACAGAGGAATCGCTGTTTTCCGGAGGGAGTTTGTGTAGGATTCTGGTTTCTTTTTTGATGATCGAAAAAACTGTTTCGTGTTGGGATTCGTATGCATCGGTATAAGTTTGTAAGATGTTAAGGAATTTATTTTCGATGATTTCTTGGAAAAGATAATTGTCGAATTTGTTTCATGTTTATTGAGCATGGTTAATTCTGTATTGTGTTGGGTTTTCCAAAGTCAAGGTGGACATTTCGGGAGTATATATCATGTATGATCATATTGATTGGATTTGTATTTTGGTCTTTGAAAATATTGTTACATCTTATACAATTAGGAGTGCTTTACCTTTTATTGTCATAGTTAAGTATATAATTTTGTTTTAGGAGTTTGAGAGGTAATTTTTCGGGGTGGAATAAAATGCTTTCGATTCGGACTGTTTCTTAATGCTCCTATTGATATACGGATTTCCTTATTATAGGTAGGATATAATATTTTAAGTAGATTTTCTTAGCTGTGCTATAAATAATTTACCCATAATTTATTTGTGACATTTTCAAGGTTTTATTTATGTTTAGAAGTCGTTTTATATCAGGCCACCTCCCAAAGTGTGATGGTACAGTATTTTCATTATGTTATTTTTTATTATACATAAACTTTTATGTATAAGAGATGATGAGTCCATTTTAATTGGTTGTAAAAGATCATTCCTAATATGCGTAATGATTTGCAAAAGGGTATTTCAGAATCTTTGAGGAATAATTAGTGGTTCCCTATCGTGCGAGTGTGAAAACATATACAATGGTTTTTCCTCGTGGAGATGTTGAAACCATTTTTCTTTAACCAACATTAGACTCTGTTTTGTCATACCATATCAAATGCTTTTTCTAAGTTTAAAGCTATTAATATTAGTTATTGTTTATCGAGTAGTATCGAGAGTTGAAAGATATCGGCGAAATCCACATTGTTTGTTTGTTGGTATATTTGATGTCTCTGAAGTGCCAAACAAAGGGTTTATTTTCAATTTTTTTCATTGTTTTAGTTAATGTATTAATGAGTGATGAATTTGTAGGAGAGTTTCATGTTTCGGAAGATTTGGTAGCTTGTTGATAGAGGTTTAGTTCGAGGTCCTTCATAATATATGTTTTTCTCGAATCAATCAATCTCAATCTCAATCAAGACTATTTTTAGTAAATTGCTGCGCAAAAGCCTTGGTTATATCTTTAGAGAATATGATGCCATTATGGTTTAGATAAAATGATGATAGTTGGTGAATAATTCCTTTAATGCTTTTAATTGTATTCCATATGTCGGTTGGAGATGTGTTTGAATTTATTGAGTTTGTGTACTTAAGATCTTACTTAAATCTTACTGTTAAGATTCAGTTTTACTTTTTTTTGTGATAAATTTTGATTGTGTGCGAATTTTTTTGAGGGCTCTTGGGTCATCATTTGGTTATCATTTTTCAGCTTTTCTGGTTGTCATTTTCTTAGCACTCTATTATAAGTTTATTTACTATCGTTTAAAACGCTCACATTCGCATTTTTTACGGTGTTATATTGTTGATTACAGTCGTGTTATGATCGTATAAGTGACGGTCACTCGATCATGCGTTATTGTTCTTGCCGACTGACGTTCGGGGTTTGGGCGTCCATTGCTATGAATGTTTTTGTGTAACGTACCCGACTTATCCTATGAAAATCTGAAATTCATTCTCCGTAACCTTCTTCGGCAAACCGTCATCGTTTCATAAGGCCATCTATGCTTCCCCTAGCATTTGCCGTCCCCTATCAGCCACGATTTTGTAAGTTTTATTTTTATTTTTTATTTAATGAACATTAATAGTTCTCGTTCATTTGAGTATAGACCTGTTGTGTGAGCATCCATTTTATTCGGCTCTCGTCGCTATTCTTCCATTTGACACATGCAACCACTTGCTTGTTGTTAAAAACTTGTCACCAAGCAATTTTAAACAGTCGATTTGCCACGGTGGAACCATATGAAGAGAGCGACACGGATGGTAATCATTTTTACGTTATTGGTTTTATTTTATGATTTTAATTACTGATTTTTTTTTAATACCAAGGCGAAGAATACATACGTTTCGTGGAAGCCACAAGAAAAAATGTGCAGAATTTGCAAAAGATAATTGGTAAGTGTAATTATTTAAATATTCAGAAGCAACATGTGGTAATGTTAAAATCTTTGTATAAATTGATAAGTTATTTATTTCCTCTGTTGAATATTCTGAAATTTTGATTTTTTTATCGTTGTGGTTAAAAAATATATTTAAATATACATATAATTTAGAGGAATAAAATTTAACATTTTTTTCGTTTTGTTTTTTTTTTTTGTTATTGTTTTTATTATTTAGTTGTGTAAAGGTTTTGTATTTATTTTATTTTACTCTTTGCACAGTATTTATTAAATAATAAAATCTCAAAAATAATTTTTCAATTTTTCTTTTTAATATGTTAAAATAACTAAGTTTATCTTAATTCTTCATTAAAACCAGTGTTTATAATTTTAAGCTTGTACACTGTTTAAAGTAAATTCAATCATTTGTTGTAATTTCTACTATTAAAAAATCTGTATCTGTGTATAATAATATGATATTTTTTTCAATACGTTAAAATAAAAATCATACATTTGAGTTTTAGATAAATCTAAAATACACATTCCTAAATAAATTGGTTGTTTTAATTCAACCATAGTTTTTTTTTCATATGTACAGCTACTAAGTTTTCTGTAAAAATAGTTGCTCGATCAGAATTTGGTTTAGCAACCCATTTTTCTATTATTTTTTTATCATCGTTAATTAATTTTATATCTTTATGATTCCTTGTGTTAATCATAGTCCTACCAAATACACTGTTGTTCATTAACTTATAATAATCTTTTTCAAATTCATTATCTGTTNATCAAATACGTGTTCAGGAGCCAATGGATAAACAAAATGAAGAAGCTCTTCAGAATATTTCAAACAAATCAGGATTACACCATTTAAAACCTTTATATGGTAAATATTTATACATTGCCCATCTATAGAGATTATTTGCATCCAAATCTAAGAGATATTTCGTTGATGTTTTTTCTTTTCTTTTTCCTCAAACATATCTATTACTTGCTTTAGAATATCTAATACAATATTGAGATAATCCTCATTTTATTCCTTGTTGAAACATTAAATACAAATCGATATCTCCTATTAGTTCTATTTCTACACCTGTTTTTCTAAGCTTAGCATTCCACGCAAAACCTGGAGTTGTATAATAATGTACAGGATCATAATACATCTATTTAATTATAAAGTGTGGTAAAATCTCTCATAATTTTTTTTAATGAAATCAAAGTTCAATAGTTCCATTTGGATCATTTCTTTTATGTTCTTTTGATTGTAAATGTCTAGACCAATTTGAATATGTAATTTTACACATAATATACGTCTTTTTTAAAGCTGTTCTAACATTAATATTTTCTTCCATTTTATTATAGGTTATTTTTTTTTTTAACTAAGGTTCAATTTCTTTTTTTTTCAAATTCATAATAAATAAGACAATCTTATGTAAAATATACAGTTTAGTTATTGTCATGTGTTACATAATATTTCATATGAGATTTAACTCTAAAATATAAAATACCTCCAGGTTTATATAAAAATAAACAAATCTTAATTTGTAAATTATTTTTTTAAATTTTAATATTTTATTACAATTCCTTTTTATCTCACATCAAAATTTGGTTTTCTATAGTTTTCTATTATTTAAACTTCCTTTAATAATTTAATAAAACGTGGAGTTGTATAAT